CCTCTCTAAGCCTCTACTTTCTGCTTTGCATCCGGGGATGCATGTTGGCACTGGTAAGTTTAAGAGGGTAAAGGAGTGAAAGGGCTGAGCAGGACTGATAGCTGTGTTCATCTTGGATTGGTTCTCATCTCACAGTCCTCACAATGTCCTTGCTGGGGAAGACAGGGGCTTTGCTCAAAAGTCTCCCTTCACAGAGTGAGTGAGTTACCCATCCTTACCAAAATGGGACTAGGTGAACCTAGGCAAGCTGGGTGCTGGTAGTGCAGAGTCTGCTATCTGCTTCTGTAGGCATTTGAAATTTTCTGTGATGGGTTTTCTGAAATAAGTTAAAACCGGGGCGCTTAGGTAAAACTCCTCGCAGAAAGGCATTTCTTGGTCAGCTTTCCTTGGTTTTTAGTGAAGGGACTGTTTTACTGCATCTCCTAAGACTTTCCAGTGTAGACACAGTAGCAACCCGCTCCTGTTGTCCTCCCAGAAGTCCCCGCCCCTGTCTGCCACCTACAGTTTAGGAGGGTTCTGGTCACATGTGTCTGCTTGGAGCCTGCAGAACTCTCAAAACCTTCCCTCTGCTCTGCTGTGGATCTCTGAGACAGCCTGGACAGGGAGGCCCCTTGGCTTCCTGGTGCCTTGTTGGGAGGCCTGCACAGCTGTGAGGCAGGTGATGCCAACGTACCCAGGGCCAGCCCAGGTGTCTGAACCACCCCTCACCACAGTTCCCTTCCCAGTCCTTTCTGACACATACTCCTCCCAACACACTCCTCCTCTTCCTTCTAGACTCTCTCGCTGCCTCCCTCACTGTGGCCTGTCTCCCCTCTCACTCCCCAGCACTCAGCCTGCACCCATCCCTCCATCTTTACTAGATTTTAATAAGAGCTGCACGTCTTAGGGGGAGCTACTGTGGGATAAAGTGCTGTAGTTTTACATGCTTTAAAAAACTCTACCCTTACCAGTACTGGAGTCTTCTTTTTTTTGTTTTTTGGTGGTGGTGCTGGAGTTTGAACTCCAGGTTCCCAGTTGAGCCACACCCTCACCCCAGCTCTTTTGTTGTAGTTATTTTTCAGATGAAGGTCTTTAGCTTTTTGCCCAGCCAGCCTAGGACCAGTATCAAGCTGCAGTTCTCCTACCTGTGCCTCTTATGTAACTGGGATTACTGATATGAATAACTATGCTTGGCTTATTTGTTGAGATTAGGGTCTTTTTGCCCTGACTGACCTCGAACCACAATCCTCCCAATCTCTGCCTCTTGAGTAGCTGGGATTATAGGCATGCACCATCATGCTTGGCAAAAGAATTTTTTATTGTGGTCAAATATATAATAGCATAAACCTTGTAATCTTAGCCATTTTTAAATTGATAGTTCTGTGGTGTTGAGTACATTCACATTGGTATGTAGCCAAGTCTTCAGACCCCTTTACTTTCAAAACTGAAATTCTGTACCCATTAAAAAAACTACCATTATTCCCTACCCTCAGCTCTTGGCAGCCAATAGTCTCCTTTCAGTCTAGGTACTTCATATAACATATACAACATTTGTCTTTTTGTGGCTGGGTTTTTTCACATAGTATAAGATCCTTAAGTTTAGTCCACATGGTAACTGTGTCAGAATTGCCTTCCTTTTTAAGGATGAAGAATGTCCATTATGGTACATGATACTTCTTTATCCATCCAGCTGTCAGTGGATACTTGGGTTGCTTCCCTCTTCGCTGCTGCTATGGATATGTGTATGAAGTGCTCATTTGAGGCCCAGCTTTCAATTCTTTTGTTTGTACGTAGAAGTGGGTTCCCGCGTCATACAGTAAATCTGTTTTTAATTTTCCGAGGAACTACCATGCTGGTTTCCTAGTGGCTGCGTATTGTATTGCACATGCTGTTCATAACCTTCTTCCAGATAACAGCCTTCAGCTTTCCATGTGAATAAGTTTTCACCTAGTCCTTACTCAGATTTTCCCAGTTGTCTCGAGAAGGTCTTTTACATCTGGTTCATTTAAACCAGAGTATAATCCATGATTAAATATCGCATCTGGACACTATGTCTCTTTCTCCTGTGTTCTGATCACTTAGCTGTCGTAGCCACCTTTTTTCCATTGGCAAGCAGACCATGAGAGTTTTATTGAGATAGAAAATGTAAAGTGAGAGAGCAGAGTTCCCAGAATTGTGGTGGGAAGGGAATTGGGGTCATGAGAGGTTGCCCCTTTTCTTCTTTCTAACAGCTTGATTAAAGTATAATTTACATAAAAATTTGCCTATTGGAAGTGTGCATTTCAGAGATTTTTAGTACTTTCATCAAAGTTAAATTTGAGTACAGTTCTGTCACTCCCAAGAGATCCCTGGGTCCTTAGCATCACTTCCCACCTACTCCTCTCAGGGGGCCTAAGCAGCCATTCAGTCTACTTACTGACCCTGTGCCTTTTCCCAGCTTTGCATATGAATGTAGCAGTCGCTCTTTTGTGTCAGGCTCCTTTCACTTAGCAGAATGCTTTCAAGGTTCATTGGTGTTGTACTGTGTATCCGTCAGTACTCCATTGTTTTTTATGGCCAGATGATAGCCTTAGGAATGTTTTACATCTTTTTTTGTTAGTGCATTCATTACATTTTGGCTTTTATGAATAATGGTGTTGTGAACATCACATATAAGTACTTATGTGGTCATGGTTTGGTTCTGGGTAAACACCTAGGAGTGGAATTGTTAGGTCATATGGTAGATTTATGTTTTATGGTTTTTTGTTTTTGTTTCTGTTTTGCAGTACTGGGGTTTGAACTTAGGCTTGTCAGAAAAGCACTCTTTCACTTAAGCCACTCTGCCAGTCTTTTTTATGTTGGATTTTTTTTTGAGATAGGACCTCGCTTTATGCCCAGACTGGGCCTGGACTAAGATCTTCCTATTTTGTGTTTTCCCATGTCAGTGAGATGACAGGTGTGTGCCACTGTGTCCAGCCATTGGTTGAGATGGTGTCGCTTGAATTTTTTGCCCAGGCTGGCCTTGAACCAGAATCCCCCTGATTGCAGGCTCGAGCTACCACACCAGCCTTATGTTTATGGTGTTAAGAAACTGTCAAACTGTGTACTCCTGATTCACCCCTCTTGTTTATAGCTTTTAATTGTTACAGACCTGTAACAAGCCAGGCCTGGGTTTTGGCTGTCTTCTCATGATGTCTTTTAAGTTGTGTACAGGACTTCAATGTCCTGTAGACTGAGAGTTAAATCTGGAGTTTTGTTAAGTGTTTCTGGCTAACATACATCACAGGTTGGTTGTGTGCTTCATATGGAGTCAAGTTTTCAAATACACAATATTTTAGTTAAAAATTTTCAAGTAGATACTGAGTTCATCATGATGTGTCGAAGACTGTTCTTTCTCCCATTGAATTACCTTGACACCATTTATCAAGAGTCAGTTATCATGCAGGCATGGTTCTACTTACAAGAGCTGCCCTCAGCTTCTCTAAACCCTGATCTAGAATTTATTGTTTTTCCAAGCCTAGAAGACTGCTGTGCGTGACCTGGGCCCCCCTTCTGCACCAAGGCCCAGAACATGCCTGCAGGTGGAAAGTCAGGCTGGACTCACACTTACCTCCTATGTGTCCCTTCTCTCAAGGCCAGCCTTGTGTTGCCTTTGTCCGTGTCTGAAAGCAGTTGTTCCACATGTTTTGTTCTTTGTTGTGGGAGGGCAGTTCCCCACTTCTTCACAGCCAGAAGCAACAATCTGCCTCCCTGTCCTCTGCATGTCATTTGCATCCTTTGTATTGCTACATCGTCAGGTTTTCTGGTCTTCATGTAGTGTCATCTGTTGAGCTCAGCTACTGTCATTTTCACCTCAGTCATGTGTTGCTTCTAAAGTTGCATTTGGCTCTTCACATCGTGTGATTCCCTTTAATCCCTCAGCATACTGACCATGATTGTGGTGGCTTTCCACAGCCTCGAATGCTGACTCCAGCATCCCCTGCCATTCCTGTCACTAGCTCTTCTCCTGCACTCTTGCATTTGAGCATCCCTAGTAATTTCTTACTGGGTCCTAAACGTTTTATTTCTGAGTATTTGGATTTTATTGTCTTCCATTAAAGAGTGTAAAGTGTTTTGGCCATCAGTAATTTGCTTGCTGTCAGCTTGATCCTTGTAAAGCTTATTTTTAAGCTTAATTAGGATTAGTCTAAAATATTTTACTCCAAGACTAGTTTAGCCATGTCTATCTGGGGTCTCTCTACTATCTGCTCCAAGTCTTCAGCCAAGTCTCTCTACTCCAGGTGGACAGACTTAGAACATATCCCAATTATTCCTTCAAGGCCAGGATTTAACATCAAAGTGGAATATTTTCATATATATCTTTTATTTTGGAGGGGGGTTTTGAGGCAGGGTCTTACTATGTAGCTCAAGGTTGGCCTCAAAGCAAGTGCTTCCCAAGTTCTGGGATTACAGACGTGTACCACCACTCCTGGCTCATATATATATATGGTGCCACACTGTCTTACTTGATCCTCACACAACAACCTAACTAAGTAAGAGGCAGAGTCGTCTTAACCTCATAGGTGAAGGTAGCAAGGACTTGGCTTGGCCCAGGTCTGACTCCATTCCAGGCATATCCTTTAAGAACTCCATGAGAATGGAGAGAGCAGTTTTTCCTGAAGTGTTTTCTCAGTTATGAGGCTCACATTTTAAATGTGAGCTTGTCTTCACATGGAACTTTCTGCGGTCATTTCTTTTTCTTCCATGAAAGCTGTCATTGAGTCACTGTACTGCATCTAAAATCTCTTTATTTTAGGAGTATTCTTGTATTTATTTTTAAGCAGTACTGGGATTGAACTTACACTTGCTTGGCAAGTATTCTACCACTTGAGCCATGCCTCCAGTGCTCAGAATCGCTTGTTTTACAATCGAGGAGAACACACATATCCCCAGAGCCTACCAGGGCCTTGGTAGACATGTGGTGTGTGCTCGGTGAAGATTTGTATGCTAACTACAAAGCAAGGCGTGCTTCTGAAAGTTGTGTGCTGTGCTTGTTTCTTCAGGTATTTTATGCATGGTGTGTGTCGGGAAGGCAGCCAGTGCCTGTTCTCACATGACCTGGCGAACAGCAAGCCGTCCACCATCTGCAAATACTATCAGAAGGGCTACTGCGCCTATGGAGCACGGTGCAGGCAAGGAGTCTGCAGCTATAGGCTGCACTGCATGTGGAGAGTGGGTCTTGATGAGGGGCAAATTTAAGTTTAAAGTAATGTGACAGTATTACAAAAGAATGTAAACTAAGCTGGTCATCCATGGCTCTTGCATGTAATCCTAGCTACTCAGGAGGCAGAGATCAGGAGGATCAGGGTTTGAAGCCAACCTAGGCAAATAGTTCATGACACACTTTCTTGAAAATACTCAACACAAAACAGGGCTGGTGGAGTGGCTCAAGTGGTAGAGTGCCTGCCTAGCAAGCATGAGGCCCTGAGTTCAAACCCCAGTAGGGCCAAAAAAAAAAAAAAGGCAACTAATTTTAAAACCTCAGTCTCAGTATCCTAAAACTACTTTAATTTTTCAAAACCATTTTTCAGGCCTTATCTCTATGAACACAGCTATAAAATTGTTCTCACAGTATAAGTAAGATTTTTACATTGTGCTTCACTCTGTTTAATATATCCTAAACTTTTCCTTTGCTGCCACTTTAGCTTCTCACTGTAAAGCCTGTGTGCCATCTTTTTAAAAGCTATCCCTTTATTACATGTTTGAGTGGCTTCTGGTTTTGTACAAGCACCCCTGCACAGAGCATGTATGAATAGTCTTCCTTTGCAAGTCTTATAACTTCTAGACAGAAAAGCATTGGAAAACCTGTATATGTTTTTGTCAAGAAGAGGCAGTCTGTGCTTCCTGGACAGCCAGGTGCCTGCCTGCTCCTTCCTGTGCCTTGCTGTTAAGTCAGCTACTTTCACAATGGCTGCCAGACCACAGTCCAGGAGACTCAAGAAGACTGACCAAGTGAGCATTGAGAGCTGTCCACTCAGCACTTAGTGGAACTTCCAGGCTCTCTGGTTGTCTGGGCATTGTGTCAGTTCTACTCAGTCCCCCAGGGACAGTCAGGTGTGGGTGATAAGGTAGCAAGTTGCTGCTCTTTCTCTAGCCAAGCAGCTCTTACTGACTGGTAAGTCTTTTCCAGTTTAAAGTGTTGCGCAAGATGTCATTGTCTACCTCAGAGAGTGGAGCAGAGGTAGCTGCAGTTGGCTGGGAGTTCAGGCAGCACGTGCAAGCGACATGGCTGTGACATCTGTGTGTGTTTTCAGATATGACCACACGAGGCCTTTGGTTGCGGCAGGTGGGGCTGTGGGCCCTGCGCCCCAGGCCACGCCCTCCTCAGGCTTTCACAGTCCTCACCCTCCTCCTGACCTTGCTGCATCCATGAGGACGTTCACGCCCGAGCCAGGAAAGCGGGAGAAGAGGACACTGGTGCTTAGAGACCGCAGTGAGTGAGCAGCAGCCTTCTTGCTCCAGGCGCTCCTTTCTGATCTCTGCTTGTCAGGAGGCTACTGACTGTCATCCGCAGGTCATGCATGTGAGAGCCCAGGGCTTTTCTGAGATGGGCTCCCCAGGGCTGCATGGCAGCCACGCTCAGGTATTGGGTTTGGCCCAGAAAGAATCAAAAGTGATCTTTTTGTCACTGTGTAATTTCCATCCTCACAGGGAGTTGTCCACTTGGTGAGAAGTGTCAGGCTACTCATTTCAAACCTTTTAGAAGTTCAGATTCCACCTTTGGAAGCAGTAGTGTGTTAGGTCTGTGATGAGATGGGACTTGGGAGGAAGAAGGCTCCAAATCCTCAGACCAGTTCCCATCACGTGAGAGATATCTAGCTGTTGATGTTGCACACCATGAGATAGGCAGATTCCACCCTTAGCACACAAGCAGTCTAACCAAGGTGGTCCTCCCTTTGGAGAGTCTCATAGCACGCGTCTGGGGAGGCCTGCAGCGGGAGGGGACTACACAGGGCAACTTCCCACTGGCTTCAGGATCAGAGGATCGCCCTCCGCTTCTCTGCAGGTGTTACTGTGTAAAGGAGCCACTGTACTCTAGTGACCTCACCCAAAATCCCTTTCATTTATGTGTGGGGGTGGGTGGTTCACGTGGACATCTCCATGCTGTTTTCAAACAGTAACGTCAGTGTTCTTTTATGTAAATATTACTGTTCTTTTGCTCTTTTCCCTGTCTCACCATTTGTGGTTATTGCTTTTTTTAAATTATTATTACAAGTATTGTATTCCTTTTGTTTTCTCCTTTTGGCCAGCATTTTTGCTACTTGTTTCCAAGAGTGGACTCCTGAGGTCAGAGTCAGTGAATCTGCTAGGTTTTGGCTAGTGGCTCACCTGAAAGGTGGGGCCAGTTCTCATTGTGTGTGTACTGTGTGTTCCATGTCAAGATCTCTCTGGCCTGGCTGAAGAAAAGTCTCTCCCAAGCATGGCGAGTAATCCAGGTAGCTGCAGCAACCCCCATACTAGCCCAGAGATGAAGCCCCATTCCTACCTAGACGCCATCAGGAGTGGCCTGGATGATGTGGAGGCCAGCAGCTCCTGCAGCAGCGAGCAACAGCTGTGTCCCTATGCTGCTGCTGGGGAGTGCCGGTTTGGGGATGCCTGTGTCTACCTGCACGGGGAGGTGTGTGAGATCTGTAGGCTACGAGTCCTGCATCCCTTCGACCCAGAGCAAAGGAAAGCTCATGAGAAGGTAATGTTGCAACCCTTGGCATGATCTCATTTAAAGGAGTACAGTACACTGTGTGGCAGAACCATTGTTATTTCTGTCTATAACTCTAGTGTTAGGTGCCTGGTATATGTAACATCCTGTTTTCTAGTTCTTTTTCCTATAGTCATGTTTTCAATTTTTGATAATTTAGAATAAAGAGAGGAAGAAGTGGCATCAGAAATGCAAAGCAATGCAAAGTTCAGAGACCAGATCTCACTCAGGAGCAGTATGTATGTGGGTGTGTGTGCAGACGCTCACACACATGTGTGCACATAGTCCAACACAGTGTCCTCCTCCCTTGGTTTGCATTTCACTGTGGCTGGGGTCCAGGTGGATTGCTGTGGGAGCTTGGAGGAGATTTTATCACAGACTCTTGAAGCCAGGTATTGGAAGGGACCTTTTAGGTCATGGACAGACCTGGTATCTGGAATCTGGAAGCTCCACCTCATGCCAGGCTATGTGCCCAGTGCAGAGGGAGTGAAGATGTACTAGACAGGGGAGAGCCTATACTGTTAGGGGACCAAGTGAGGACTCAGTACTGATGAGGAAGGGACCCAGAGACACACATCAGAGAAGACCTCCATCTCTGGAAGGGTGCTGAGGGCATATGTCAGTGGACAGTGTGTTTCTGGCAGGGTAGCCGGGACTGGGGATGGGGCTGTAGTGTGAGGACATTGACTCTGGAGGGAGCATTCAGGTGAGCTCAGAGTCAGCTTGCCTGTCCATCTAAGTGTGAGAAGTCTTTATGCCATGCACCCTGAGCTCCGAGGGCAGGTCCTGGGTCATTGCTCTCTTTACAATCATTCAAACGCTAGCACAGAGGAGGAGCTTGGGGCACCTGAGTAAATGAATGAATTCCTGGCTTCATTCTCAGGGACAATGGATGCTGCTTATCTTAGACTCCAGGCTGCCAGCCTCACAGCTCAAGTTCATGGTTATTCAGCTGATACTGGTGTGGCTTGGAGTATGTGGGATCCGGAGGACTTAGGAGTCCAGGCGCTCTGTGCCCCACAGTGTTCTATCACTTGGCTCTTAGTTGGAGGCAACCATATGGTGCAGGGGCAGCAGCAAGGTGGCTTGAGGTCCACTTTGTGCTTTGAGCAGGGTCTTTGTATCATGTGTTCAAGGGCTGTGGGCACTGCTTACAGTAGCCAATGTGGTGTCCTTCCTGACCTTGCTATGGCTGGGTGGGTGTGCAACTCCCTGGGATCTCACTCCTCTCCGATGGCTCATAACCTAGGTTTGTGTCTCCTTGTCTGCTCCAGGTGTGCATGTTGACATTTGAACATGAGATGGAGAAAGCCTTCGCCTTCCAGGCAAGTCAGGACAAAGTATGTAGCATCTGCATGGAAGTGATCCTTGAGAAGGCATCCGCTTCTGAGAGAAGGTTCGGCATTCTCTCCAGCTGTAACCACACCTACTGCCTGTCCTGTATCCGCCAATGGCGGTGTGCCAAGCAGTTTGAGAACCCCATCATCAAGTGAGTGTGGGGTCTTGGGACTCAGAGCTGGGTCAGGGTTGTATCTGAAACTTCTCCCATCCTCTAAATCCTGCCCCTGGCTGTGTGAATTTGAGCAAGTCACTTACTGTTCCTGAGCCCAAGTGTCTTGTCCTATAAAAGCTAGGTAACAGTTCCACCTGAGCTTTCTGCAGAGATCATCTGTGTGAGAAGGCATCAGGTGTCACTGGCTCCTTTCCACCTGGCAGACCTTGGTTTGGATATGATGCTAACCATCACTAGTGTTTGTCCTGACACCAGTTGCCTGGTAACCTTTTTGAGCTTCATGGTTTTCGGTTTTTGGTGGTTTTTTTCACCTTAAAAAAATAAATAAATAAATAACGTATTTGAGGATTATGTGGAATATTGCATGTGAGCATTTCCCATGCTGCTTGTGGCCAGCAGGTGCTGCAGAGGGGCAGGGCAGGGTGCACTCATGCTGCGTGTACTTTCTGCAGGCTTTCGCTGGTAAAAGTACTTCCCATCCCTTGGCTCTGGTAATTTTCTCAGTGACCCCACAGCATCACCCTCATAGAGAAGGAACTGAGGGCACAGTAAGGTCAAATAACTTCCCTGAAGTTCATGTTTGTGTGGCTAAACAACAGTTCTGTTGGAGGAAAGGGTACAATTTGTTAGTGGTCAGTAGTTTTCACAGTTACACAGCAGTCATTCAACCTAACTTAAGTATATTTCATATGTCATATCCCCAGAAGACCTCCATTTGTAGTCACTGCCCATTCCCTTCACCTTCTGGTCTTAGCCAGCCACTGACCTATGTTCTGTCTCACACATTTGCTCACACTGGGCATCGCATGTAAACACTCATGACGTGTGGCCTGTTGTCACTGCTCTCTTTCACTTAGTGTAGTGTTTTCAAGGCCCAGCCCTTTTGTAGCATGAATTCGTACCTGGTTCCTTCTTACAGGTGAGTAACATTGCTTGTTAAGACTGACACTCCTGTGAGAACTTGTGGGCAGGTCTGTGGCCTGTTTCCCTTGCTCTTGGGCATTTTCCAGAGGTGGGATTTAACTGAGGAACCAGATTGTTTTCCAAAGAGTCTGCACACCCCACAATCCTACGTTACAAGAACTCTGATTTCCTCACATCCTCTCCAAGGCTTGTCTATTCTGATAGGAGCCATCCTAGTGGGAACAAGCTGATGTCTTATTGCACTCCTCATTTTCATTTCCTGTATAGCCAGTGATAATGAGCATCTTTTTGTATGCTGATTGGCTATTTTGGGAAATACTCAAATCCTTTGCTCATTTTTAAACTGGGTTATCTGTGGTCTTGTTGAGAATAACCTGCTTTTAATAGTTGAGAACGTGACTCTCAGCTGAATGTGATTACATCTTCAGGGATTTCAGGTGAAAGTGACACCTGTCGAGCTCCTGTGTTTGAGCAAGGTGTTTCATAGTGGAGTGTGCACAGGATCAGAAACCTATTTCCTCCCTTAATAACCTGATTCGTATTTCAGGTCTTGTCCAGAGTGCCGTGTGATATCAGAGTTTGTAATTCCAAGTGTGTATTGGGTAGAAGATCAGAATAAAAAGAATGAGTTGATTGAAGCTTTCAAACAGGGAATGGGGTAAGTGCTTTGAGTTCAGCCATGATCCTGGTGCCTACCTGGCTGTGGTCAGCTTCTGTTCTCATCTTCAAGCCTCCCGAGAATGTGGTCCTGGGGCCTGATGCCACTCAGAGAGTCTGCCTTCTCTCAGGCACCACCTGGGCTCTGGGACACACTGATAATCGAGGCTGTGATGAAGCGGGTGGGTTTCTAAGCTGAGCGTTGTCCACTGGAACCTGGTTTCTGGTGCTTAGGCCACCTTGGCATTGTGATTGCTCAGTTGCTCAACAAGTCTATCACAGGCCTTTTCTAGTGCTGGGAACACAGCACCAAAGAGAGCCAACAAAAATCCCAGCATCTTCCAGCTGATACTCTAGTGGGAGAAAGTAAGAAGAGTAATAAGAAGCAGAGTAATAGAGCAAGGGTACAGTAAACAGGTCAGAGCTGAGTTGAGAGATGGGGCTGAGGAATCAGGAGTGAGAGGGAGGACTGTTTCAGGGCAGGAGACCCCAGAGTAGCCTCAGTGAGGGGCTCTGAGCAAAGAGGAGGTGAGGCAGCAAGCCTTATTGAAGTGAGAGGAACATTCTAGATGGAGGGAATGCTAAGACCTTGAGGCAGGTACATGTTGGTTTGTTTGAAAAATATCAGGAGTGGCTGGTAAGAGGGGCAGACTATGTGGGACTTTGCAGGTCACTGGGCAGATAATTTGTTGTGAGTGAGGCAGGAAGCCACCATGGCCTTTAATAGGGGTAATGTGACTGGGTAACATTGGAACAACCTCCGGCTAATGTGTCTAGAATATACTGTCAGGGACTGGAGGTGTGGCTCAAGTGGTAGAGCGCCTGCTTTGGGAGTGTGAAGCCCTGAGTTCAACCCCCCATTCCACCAAAAAAGGAAAAAAAAAAAATATATATATATATATATATATATATTTATATATTATATATATATATATATATATATATATGTACTGACAGAGGAGGCAGAGATACGGGTTAGGGAGACCAGGTGGGTTTGTCCAGCAGTCCTGGAAAGGGTTAAAGTAGAAGCGCTGAGAAGTGGCCAGTCCTGGGTCTGTTTGAAGCATCACTGATAGACTGCAGATGGTGCCATGTGTGGAGAAGAGGGCTGACTCCCATGTCACTTGGCACTATCACTTTTCTTTTATGCTGCACTTTCATCTTTATTGGCCAGTTTACTCTTGAGCTTATTGGTTTTGTAAAGCATCTTATTGGCCTTCACTGAGAAACAAGGAACCGGCGTGGCAACCAGCGTGCAGTGACTCAAGAAGAAAATGATGATGGGTCACTGGTGGACCTGCAGGTGTGTGTGGGTGAGGCTCTGGACTAGGTCGTTACTCACAGTTAGTGCATTGTGGGAACAAGAACTATCTGGAGGAGGGTGAGTTTTATTTAAATCACAGACATTGGTTTCCTTAGAGCCGCTATTAGAAATTCTCACAAGTCAGGGTCTCAAAACCTCAGAAGGCTAGAATTAGAAATCAAGGTGGTCCTTATGGAGGCTCTGAGAGAGCCTCTGTCCTGCTCCTCCCTTATGGCCCCTTCTCCTCTCCCTGTTACAAGGTCAGGTTGCCATTTGTAGGCCATAGTTTTCCAGGAGGAGCTCCTTTGGAATCTTTACTTATATCTGCCAAGGCCATTTTCTAAATGAGGTCAGTCACAGGCGCCAGAGCTTAGGCTTCGGACTTGTCTTTTGGGGGTCACTGCAGGTGAAGTTCGTGTACCTCAGAACTGTGGACAGTGAGTGCTACCCCTTCTTCTATTGATGGACACTGCACTGCTTCCAAAGTTTGGCTATTCTGAGTATGTTCTAGAATTCCATGGTAACATCCAGCTTTTTAGCTTAACTTTCTTTTTTAAGACAGGATCTCACTGTGAAGCCCAGGCTGGCCTCAGCCTCCTCCCGCAGTCTGAGTGTTTGAGTGCAAATGCAAACTACTCCTGGCATCCTTTTTTTTTTTTTTTTTTTTTTTTGTGGTGGCTCTACCACTTGAGCCACTCCAGCAACATCCTAGCATCCTGTATTTATTAATTTATTCTTTTTTTGTGGCACTGGGGTTTGAATTCAGGGCTTCATGCTTGCTAGGCAGGTGCTTTACCACTTGAGCCATTCTGCCAGCCCATGGCATCTTCTTTTTAAAAAACAGTTTTTCAGGCCAGGCACAGTGTCTCCCATCTATAATCCCAGCTACTTAGGAAGTGGAGATTGGGAGAGCAGGAGGATCATGGTTCAAGGCCAGCCTGGGCAAAAGATAGTGAGACCTCCCTCCCCCCACAATCTCAACCAATAAAACTGGAAATGGTGGCAGACTCCCATCATTCCAGCTACATGGGAGGTGTAACTGTGTGGATTGTAGTCCATGCTGGCCTGGGCAAAAACGTGAGACCCCATCTGAAAAATAACTAAAAGAGCTGAGAGTGTGGCTCAAGTAGTAGACTGCTTGCTAGAGCAAAAATAATAATAATATAATTTAATATGCTCCTAATTTTTAGTCAGAATTAGTCTCTCCTGCCTGATGTGCATCCTTGTTACTGGCCTGTCCACTGTAAATATAATGTACATTCATACTGGCTTTTTTTTTTTTTTTTTTTTGGAGGCACTGGGGTTTGAACTTGTGACCTCATGCTTGCTAGGCAGTCAATCTACCACTTGAGCCACTCCACCAGCCTCATATTGACATCTTTTATGTACCCCACAGGTACATAAAGATACCGGTACTTTTTGCTTTAAAAAAAAAATTATGTTTTTTAAAGAGGAAAAAGTTTTTTATTTACCCAGATAGCTACTATTTCTTCTGCTCTTGCATTTGATATATATATTCAGCCCTTGGTATCTGTGGGCTCTGAGCCTACAGATTGAACCAACTGGACTGAGAAATATTTGGGAAAAATTGTGTATATGGCATCTGTACTGACCACATAGCAGTGTTTTTTTTGTTTAGGTAACAGTGTGACAGCTGTTCACATGGCATGCCATTGTGTTAAGGACCATGTGGTTGCAGTGTACAGTATGTGAGGGTTTACATGAGTCCTGTGCCGCAGGTAGGACACCGTTTTAGAGAAGGGACGGGGGCATGCCACATAGGGAATCCTGGAGCCAGTTCCCCTGCAGTACCAAGACAATCCAAGCTCCTTCAGCCTCAGGAGCTACCTTTACCATTTTGTTGGTCTGTTGGCAATGAACTCTTAATTTTCTTTTCTTCTCTGCTCTTGAAAGACATGCTCATTGAACTGGCGGTCTGATTCGTCCCCGTTCCCCCTCATCTCCGTCAGGATTGAGTCCCGCTCTATCCTGCAGGTGTAATACGGCCTCTGGCTTCTCAGAAGTCAGGGCTGATGCAGCAAGCGCTAATGTGTCGATTTTCTCTTTAGCCTTTGGACATTATACCTAGGAATGGTTTTCTTCATACGGTACATAGTTATTCTCTTAAGTCTATACATTTGTGTCAGTAACTGAAATCTTGGCCAGTTTAATCCAGTTTTTTTTCTTCTTTCTACCCTATTTTTTCTTTTCCTGGGACTCTTATTATACATGTGGTGGACTTTTTGATACTGTGCCATAGGTCTCTGGGGGATTCTTCCATTTTTTTATTCAGTCTTTTTCTCCCTCTTTTCATCTCCTTGAACATGCTATTGTGGCAACTAGGGGACCCTGTTCCTCTCATTTCCACTCATTATCTGTCAGTCTCCCTCTGACAGAGCTGTCCTGGGTGCTGGGATTACAGGCATATCCCACCGTGTCTAGCGTGTCGATCATCTTCTAAGAAAGGCCACATCTTCCTGGTTCTTCCTCTGTGTCGTCATTGTAAGATTTTTACCCTCAGCATTGTAGATGCTCCATTGTATGCATGTGGGTTCTCTTCAGTTCCTCGGCAAGGTGGTTGATTTTTTCACGTGGATTGGTAAATCATGTGAGCTCACACTCCAGCCATTCCAGTCTCTGCTAGGCTTTGCACCCTTAGCTGAGTTGCTCTGAGCCTGCTGGGTTCTGTGTGGCTCAGCCTGTCAGGGCTTTGGGCCTTTCACACTCAGCCTTTGGGCTCTCCTCCTCAAGCCCTGCCCTGGGGATTTCTTCCTCACTGCCAGTGCCTGCGACTGCCTCCACCCTTTGTAGATCTTGACACCATAAAGACTGACTGCTTCGCTCAGATTTTCAACCACTGGCATGGTGTTGAGTGTGGCCTGCACCAGGCTCAAAGCCTCAGAATGCTACTGTGTTCTTGTAGGTGTCGCTCACCCAGGAGATCTTCCTGCTTTTGTTTGTCTCCAGCAACTTCAAGTCTTTTTCAAGTACTTAGATAGCTTAACCAGCGAGAGGATCCTGTCTGGTAGAAGTGTACTTGACCATCTTAGTGGAATTAGGCATTACCTTTTAAAATGGTCCCTTTAAAGCAGGGCGAAGTGATGCACACTTGTAATCTCAACACTCAGAAGGCTGAGGCAGGAGAATTGTGAGTTCAAGGCCAGTCTGGGCTATATTAGTGAGACCCTGTCTCAAAAACACAAACCAGATCAAAAGTTTCCTTTACATTGTGTACCAGTTACTGAGGTCCTCTTTTCCCATTTTTGTCCTCGTGTCACCTGATTGTCCACAAGAGGGCAGCGCAGCCAGGCAGAGCGGGCTGGGCTGCAGGAAGGCACTCTGCTGCTGTAGTGGGGGTGTTGGTGGTGTGGTTCATGGCTGTCAGGATCTTTCCTGGCCAGCTGCATTCCCCATTCACAGAGCATCTGCGCCTTCAAGTTGAGCCATGGGACATAGAGCTTAGTAAGAGAATTGCCCTGTCAAAGGGCAGTTAGGTTTTCTGGTGAGAGTCTTAACAAGTGGCCCGAGCTGGGACAGAGAAATCCCTTGGGTCTACCTGGCATGTCTGAGGAAGGAAGCCATGTTGGAGACCCTGAGCACAAACACCCTGTCCACGACAGGGTGCAGGTGAAATAGCCAGGTGTCTGACGGTGTACAGCAGTACAAATGGTCCCTGAAATTTAAGCAGGTGTGTGGAAGGATGGAGGGCCTGAGCCCAGCTTGATTGTGGTCTGAGGAGACGTGGTTTTGGGTCGCTCTTCTGTGATCCTGTGAGGAGGGAGGAAGATGTGACTGGCAGGCAGGCAGCAGAGGGGTGCCCCCGCCCCAGCAGTTGTGGGCACTGGAGACCAGATGGGTTTGGAAGCTACTTTGTGACTTGAGGTGACAAAGCTCGGTGTGTGACCGAAAACAGAGGGAGATGGGGGTGAAGTGAAGCTTTTGGCCTTGGTAATTAGGGTAGGGGAGAAAAGAGTAACATGGAAGGTAGAGGAGGTGTGACTAGAGGCAGTGGTTTTGAAGCCAGAGTTTACCAGAGCTGGTCCCCTGAGAGCCTCCAGAGCTCACTGTCCACCAGACTCTGCCTTTGAGGGCTCTCAGCAGCTCGGGTGGGGTGGGAAGAGGCCTGGCTAGCATCTGCTCTCTAGGAGCTGCTCTTGTGCTACCTGAGTCTGAGGAGGAGGCAGGGAGGCCCCTGCTGTTTCTCCACCTTCCCCTCCATACTCTGATGACACCCCACCCCCGAGTTTCTTGGGCCTCTCTTCTGCAGTTTGGGTTATTTTATGATTTGATGTGCCAAATTCCATTCTAATAAGAGGTGGGAATTATCTGTGAGCTTCCTCAGGAGCAGGGTTCTTAACATAGGGGTCTGTGCTGTGTGACCTTTGGTAATCTTTTGCAGACCTGTGTCTCGTGCACTTATAAACACTGGAGTAGGCCCCAAGCACATGCAGGGTTAAGTCCTGCTCTAGAGAGTAGAGACAAAGGGAAACTGGGATGTGACCTGTAGCTTTGGGCAGCTGCTGCAGTTCACTACTTTCCAAGTGTGACTCTCCTGTGGACACCGTGACAGAACTGGTGGCCAGGAGAGAAATCTTTGTGCTTTGGGGACTTATGCAGGGCAGGTGGCCCAGCTCCAGACAGTGGTGCCCAGTCCTTGCTTTGGGTACGGGCTGCTGTCAGGTGACCCAGAGGTGTTCAGAGTATCGCAGGCTCCACAGTGACTCCAGCACCTTTGGCTTCTGTGAGACCGCTCATCGTAGTAGGAAATCAGAACCACAGTGGATGTGACTTAAACAAGTTGCTTAACCTCAGCCCTTCCTCAGTTTCCACACTTTTAACAGGAGGCTGACTGAGCTCTGACATCTTAAGTGGAGCTGGAGGAAAGCTGTACCCCACATTGTCCCACCAGCCTCTGGATTCCATTTTTTTTTCCTGCTTTTCAGAAAAAAAGCTTGTAAATACTTTGAGCAAGGCAAGGGGACCTGCCCCTTCGGAAGCAAGTGCCTGTATCGCCACGCATACCCTGACGGGCGGCTGGCAGAGCCCGAGAAACCTCGCAAGCAGCTCAGTTCAGAAGGCACCGTGAGGGTAAGGACCTGGGTGTTTCTGGGCACTGTCCCTGGTCCCGCCCTAATGGCTTTGGCAGTGGAGTAGGGTCAGCAAAAGCTCATTAAGAGACTCACAGCCTCCGTGCTGCCTTCCCTGACCCAGGCGTGGTGTTGGTTGTTTTTTTGCAGTTCTTTAATTCAGTGCGGCTGTGGGATTTCATTGAAAACCGAGAAACCCGGCAGGTCCCCAACACTGAAGATGTCGACGTGACAGAGCTTGGGGATCTCTTCATGCACCTTTCCGGAGTGGAATCATCGGAACCCTAGAGACAATGATGGCCCCAACTTTGCCAAGCAGAGTGTCTCTTACTGAGCCCACGATGGCGTGGTGCTTCCCCTGGTCTCATCCACTCTCCACCATTCCAGCCCTGGGAAGAGTGAAGGGTACAAAGTGACCTGCTAAATTCATGGAGTCACTATTTATAGTTGATCTTAGCTGTACCTCCAGCCCCACGGGGGACCAGCTAACCGTTCCAACTATTTTGACTGATTGCTTTTAAAAGAAACCTGGCTTTTGTCCTTTGTGACTTTTTTTCCCCTCAGAAATAGTAGACTTGCAGCTGTTCATAAAGCAGCAGATACATTTTCTTACCAAAGGATTCCTCAACAGTGAATGTGCTGATGCATTTAAATAGAGTGTAGTCAGCCCTGATACCTTGATCCATGTGGTAGTCTAGTGGGCACTGCACATGGTGACCTAGAACTCTTCAGGGCACGCTGCTATAAGGAGGCCCAGGCTTCTGAGTTCCTGCTAGTGACAGAAGTAGTCCTGGACAGCCCAGTGCCAGGGCCTGGAGGTGAGGCGCCCCTTGCACTGTGACTCCAGCCAGGAGACACCATGAGCTCACCCTCCCCTTTGGGCTCATGTGCTCTGGGTCATACTCAAGCCATTCATTCTTACTGTAAAGCCTGGCATCACTCCAGCTTTGTAAAACTCACAGCACCCAAGACGGTTTCTGGTCCTGAGGGGAACTGAGGCCATTTGATTTTAACTGAAGAGTATGAATAACCTTGCAAGTCAGAACTTATTCTAAACCTGAATTTATCTATTTTTGTAAAAAGCTGTAGAAACCAAATATTTTATAAAGGCATTACTTTTAGCAGATGTCTTACCTGAGTTTCGAGTGTTTTTACTTTATTGCCCCAGTTAACTCCAGTAAAGGCTCACAAGGGGCACAGACAGACTGAGCTAAACTGAGTCCAGGCCTTGTCCTCCATCAGGGAAGGGGCATCATCACACTGTGAACTCAGTATTACTTTTGAAGGAGTTAGCAGCCGTTAAACCTAAATTTAATTTATTTTATTAAAATAACATAATTGAGGAAACATCAGGTAACTGTATCTTATCAGGCGCAATAAAAACAAAATTAAAACCAAATCATTTAGAAAACCTGTATTCCTGGCTTTCTTGTAGACACAAATGATGTGACTAGAGACAGGGCTGGCCCTGCCCCATAGGGGCAGCTCCTGGAAGACAAATTCAGCATGATGGGAGGCTGCTCCCAGGAGGGCAGAGCGCCTTGCCTGGAAAACAATCCCCTCCCTGCACTGGACGACTCGAGGCTGGGAAAGGAGGATGAGTCCCCAAAGTCAAGTTCCATAGTACCAAAGCGGCTCCTCCAGGCGACCGAAGTCTCGGCAGTCCTGGGCTGTCTGTCTGTCTGTCTGTCTGGGGCATCCTGTGCAAAACTGTTTGGCGCTGCACCATTGTCTGAAGAGAAGTCCTTCCTGTGATTGATAGGTATTCCTCAAAGAAGCCACCTTCCAAAATCCCACGTGCCCCCACGTCAGGGTGGGACCACCTACTACTTTAGTTCCCCTCCGTGAACTTTTTTCTTGCCCTGAAGATATCATTTAGCTGACAGCTAGGGCCCTTTTTTGTGCCTCTGGAGAAAGCTGGACTCCTGAGCAAGGGGTGGGAACAGGGTGGGCCAGCATGGGGAATGGCTTCCTTCAGTCTCCAGAGCAGAAGGGGTAGAAAAGAAAGCAACATGAAGTTAAGGCCTGTGAGTAGTCTAGAAGGTCCTTAGCAGCAGCTTCTCTGAAAACATGCATTCTGTTCCCGAAGAAAGGGAACAGAAAAGTGGTGCCTGCTGATTCCCCTTCCTCCCCAGGTGGCCTGAGAGCAGGTGCAAAGTCAGCTAGAAGACAGGCAGCCTTGGGGATGTGGTTAGCGTGCAAGCATTAATGTCCTCAGTGTGGGCCGCCCGGTGGAGGGATGGCTCAGAAGCACTCCGGTTGATTTTCGGTAGAGAGTGTTGGAGCAGCTCAATGGAAGACAGGATCTGAAACAAAGCCACAGTAGGTACATTAGCTGGGGATCCCCCCTTCCCTCCACTGGAACCCCCTGGAAGCTTAAGTCCTACCTGGGGAAAGAGAGGCCTCTCTTCCTTTACTTTCTTCACGCAGTCCGCCACCAGCCTCTTCATCGCCTTAGGACAGTTCTTGTACAGCCTGCTGAGATCCGGCGAGGCATACCCACGGCCCACCATGAAGATGATCTGAGGGAGGAAACACGTTGAGCAAGTGATAGGCGACCCACACAAAGCCACCTTGCTGCGCTCATGGCAGGAGGCCCAGGGGCCCCACAAACACCAGCAGGTCACCTGATCCCGGTTGTTGATGTGGGAGTAGGGAAGCTCCCCCGTCATCAGCTCATACAGCACGATGCCATAGGAGTACACGTCCGACTGGAAGCTGAATGGGTTGTTGTCCTGCATTCGGATCACCTCTGGGGCCTACAGGGACAGAGTAGGTTAATCCCAAAGTCATGAGACCACAGACATCCGGGGCCAGGCTGGCCCTTTAAAGTCCAATTCTCAGCTCTACATAAGACTTCCCCAAAGGACTCAACTCTAAAGCCAGTAGAGTCCTGGTCTCTGCCCCAGAGCCTGAACTTAGTCTCCCCAGCTGGCTGACTCTCACCCCTGCTGACCTTCCACCTTTGCCCCAGGGTGTCTGACACTAAAGGGATCATCGGGCGCTGGGGTAATGCACGGAAACGCTGTAGCTCTGCACGGTTTCAGGGCTGTGCTTCCACCCTTTACAGGAAGACTTCAGTGGGAGCCCAGAGTCCTCACCATCCACAGCACAGAGCCTGTGGGCTGTTCAACCTGCTGAGAACCACTCCAGCGCGACTTCACTGTCGCCAAACCAAAGTCTCCAATTTTCACCGTGAGGCCTTCGTGGAGAAAGATATCTCAATGCTTGTTAAGGACTGGTTGCAAAGGAATGGCCAAGTTAATTTGATAAGCTTCCTAAAGTTATCTTAACACAGTGACCTATCTCCTGCTGGCCCAGCCTTCTCTGTGTTGAATTTTAGGCTTCCTAAGTTTTAAAAAGTGCTTTGAAATTGCCCTTCTTGTAGGAAACAGGCTGGGATTGCTCTGTGTGCCCGATGATTTGGCCCCAGACAAAACAAGCCAAACTTTCCCACCACTTCCACATGTAGTGCTGGGTCACTGGCCTTCCCACGGAGTGCAGGCACACTAAGACCCACAGCAGAGGCTGCCTTCTGGAGCTCTTGAACTCATGATCCTCCTGCCTCTCCCAAGGGCTAGGATTACAGGTGTGTACCGCCACACCCACTGTAATTTTAGAGATCTTGCAACATTTGGCTTGTATACATGAAACAAATGTATAAGATAAGTGTGACCCCACACAGTTACATTTAGTAATATATAATGGGCCTATTTCAAGTTTCACCCAAACATGTATCCCGACTCTTGTGGAAAATCTTTCCAAATGACTTCTGAGAAAAGCTAGGATCCTTCTATTGACTCCACACCGCAGCACAGGCAAGGCAGATGCTACTGACAGCATTCAGTCCTTGGGGTGCCTTTGAATTTTGTTTCTCAAAGAACCAACTTCCTGGCTTTGTTTCTGTGTTCCACCTCTCCCTAAAAAGCTGTCCCCTGGCACCAAGAGCCACTTGTGATGAAAAGGGTCCCTTCTGGCTCCTGAAACCAAAACCTGAGCAGCCCAGCGGAACCCAGCGAAGGATACTGTTGGATTTCATGTCTCTGTGGATGATATTCTTTGCATGCAAATAGCTGTGAAGAGAAACAGATTAAAACCAGTTTTAAACTACAGCTAAGCAAAGGGCCTAATTCCAGTGAGGCACTGACTGGCGGTGACCAGCCCCACGCCTGTCCATCCTGTCCACTCCCCACCTACAGGGAGACCACAGCACGAATGACACTGTCATTTTAAGCTTAAGCATCAATTTTACTCAAATAATGCTGACAACCTCAGTGTCCATCAGCTAGTGAACAAATATGGTAGCATATCCACAGAAACGAAGAAAGTGCTGGCATATAGCACAACAGATTCACCTCGGAAACATTAAGCCAAGTGAAAGAAGCCAGGCACAAAAGGCCACATCTTATATTTTGCATCATCATTGATACGGAACAGATAAAATCCAGAGACTGGAAGTGACTGCCAGTGAGCATGGCTTTCTTTCTGGGGTGGTAAAAATGGCCACCCCCAGAAAGATGGTTGCTCTGCTCTGAACACACCAGAAACTCAGGGCCTCATGGATTGGTAGGCAGGTGCTTTGGTACCTGAACCATGTCCCCCAGCCCGTAAGATGGGCTGAGGTTTGGACTCAGGGCTTTGTGCTTGCAAAGCAGGCACCCTACCACTTGAGCCACACCTCCAGTCCAGTTTGCTCTGGTTATTTTGGAGATGGGGTCTTGTAAACTGTTTTCCCAGGTTGGCCTCAAACCTCAGCCCTCCTGATCTCAGCCTCCCAAGTAGCTAGGATTACAGGCCGGCCACTGGCACCTGGTTCATAAGATACACTTTTAAAGGAGTGAATTTTATGGCATGTGAGTTTCACCTCAAATTTTTCTAAAGAGTAATTCTACTTCTTAAAATTCAGACTTCTACATGAATGCAACCTCCATGTGAATTTTGAGACGAAACACAAGAATGTGTGCAGCCCTTGCATGTGGACTGCAGACCGACCCTAGGAGTCTGAGGCATTCCCACTCCTTAGCCTGTGTACCATCCACAGCACAGAGATGCAGAGGGCAGTATTTAATGGAGGAGCTGGGGATGACCATTGAAAATAAGTAGTATCGAGTCTAACAGCCACGCTGTTAAGAGCAGAAGGCTCCCACCCCACTCTGTTCCTGGGTCTCTGGATGAAGACAGTAGCAGCTGAAGTGTGAAGCTGAGGCCCATGAGGACAGCCTGGCTTGGTGAGGACTGTGAACCCATTCCTGGTGACTGACCCCTCCAGGCTAGGGGCTTGTTTTCTGCTATGCAAAGATATCACACAATCATACAATGCACTAAGCTAAGGCGGCTTGTTCTGATCCTGGTTCCCACTCAGGGCCTGGGCCACCAAGGAGTCACCAGGCTGACTACTCACTCCATTCCCTGAGCTGTCTGCCGGGCAATGTCAATTAACTGGAACATCTGGAATTTGGTCTCCTGGACATGCAGGTGTTTGTAGAGACTGCTCCCCTCGCACCACTGGGTCACAATTGCCAGGTTGTCCTTCGTCATGTATCCCATGAAGAGCAGGATGTTCACATGCCGTGTTTTGCTGGGGGAGGGGAAGGAGAGAATGCTCAGAAATGTCTACTGTTTTCCCACAGACCGTGGATCCTCAGTGTTCTCAACCTCTGCCCCCAGCTTTGGAAGGGGCTGGTCAAGCAAAGCCATAAGACCCTGCCAGTAAGCAGCTGGCAAACAAAGGAGTCTACCCTTCGTTCTCTGTGCTGGCCTTGTTCATGCAAGGCAGATTCCATGGTCAACACAGGCACGGCTCTCCCCGGGGTCACCTCACCAGTGGAATCCACCACTGCTCAACTGACTCCTACAAGCCTGAAGAGTGACTCAAAGACTAGAATGCTGAAGGTTGAAATACAGACTAAAGCAAAAAGATTCTTGGAAATAAAGGTAAAAAATAGAACCTATTTCTCCCTACCTCAAACCAAAACCTACAGAGAGCTGGCTACTAAGTGTTCTGTGCCCAGAAGTGGTGTCCGCTGGGCAAAGGGTGTGGGCTCAAGTGGTAAAGCGCTTGCCCACCCATGTTCAAACCCCAGTACCAAACCACAGAGAAGGGCCCTGGAGAGGTCTGGAGGTCAGACACTCTGGAGGGAATAGCCCTGCATGCCTCACCCAACTCCACAGCTCTCTGCCTCCCACCTGGGGACTGGCCATGCTGCCCAGGAGCTGGACTCACCGCAGGACAGCAACCTCATTCCTGAAGGCCTGGAACTGCTCTGGAGTTGGGTCAACAACCTTTAGGATCTTCACAGCAACGTCTCCTGAAAATTAGTTTGTAGTTAGTACATTCCATTAAGTGATTTTTATTTTTTCAAATACCCTAGTTTTTTTTTTTTTCTTCCTTCTCTTTTTGGCTGTTCCTGGGATTTGAACTCAGGGCCTCACGCTTCCCACACAGGCACTCTACCACTTGAGTACCTACCTCTGCCAGCCCTGTTTTATGTTGGTTATTTTTGAAATAGGGTCTTGAGAACTATTTGCCTGGGCTGGCTTTGAACTGCAATCTTCCTGGTCTCTAAGTCACTAGGATTACAGACGTGAGCCACCAGCACCCAGCCAAATACCCTAATTTTGAGGAAAATACAGTGGGTCACTTTTTTAAGGAACCACATATCTGCTCAGATGGAACAAATTTGCCAACGTCTGAATCAAATGACTGAAACGTTAATAAGTGGTTTCACTGCTACCCGTCTCCACTCTAGGCCTTCAAACCGTCCACACCAGGGCTCCACACCTGGGAGCCCAGAGTCAGGTCTGTGGGATTCATCATCGACCTTTGCCTGTGGAGATGGAGTTGGCACCTGGCTATGAGTAACCAGCAAGTACACATTGTGAAGAAGGCTGGGGTGAGCAAGCAGACCCGTCCGCCAACTGTGGGCCTTAAGACTGCTCTTGGAGGAAATCAAAGACATATGTTGAATTCAGCTTCTTGGCCTTCGATACCATTAGAAAGTAATCTTAATACTGAATGCTTGCTGTACCCTGGACTGTAGGTAGGTTTATCTTCTCTAGCCCTCCTGCTACTCTATTATGTAAAGGAATACTGCTATCTTCATTGTGCAGATAACAAGCAGAAGCTAGTCACTTGCCCAAGGTCATACAAACAAAAACAAACATGCTGGAAGCCAGGACAAGGAGCCCAACCAGACTCCCACTGCTGTTCTTCCACAGGTGGCCATCGAGCAGTGACTAAAGCCAGCCTCTTCACACACCTTCAGAAACACTTAAGGATCTACTTTAAATGTGCAGAGTTAGAAGTCACTTTCAGAAGTTTTTTACAAAGATACATTTTCACAATAAATTAATTTACTAAAACAAGGTTTTGTACTTGGGAAGCTGAAGCAGGAGGATCGCAAGTTCCAGGGCATCTTGGGCTACACAGTGAAACCTTAGCTCAAACAAAACCCAAGCCCTTCCAATGATCAAAGCAGGAGTTAGCCGTCTCTTTGTAGGTGACAGTCCCTCCACACAGGGTGCAGCCCCTGCAGTGGCCTCTCTGTTGGCCCACTCCTCATTCCACTTCCAGGGAGTACCAACTGGTATACACAGTTCTCATATCATGTGTGATCTCTGGCTTGATCACCTAAGGCCATCTAAAGCCACAAGTCCTTGCAACTGGCTCTCATCCAATGCCCGTGCATGTGGTCTACCAAGGTGCGGGCTTTCCATGAAGGCACTGCTGACTGGATGGGGGGAAACATATGCCATGTTCGGAGCTGCCATCTATCTAGGAAAATGAATTCAGTAAACCATGGGGGACATGTGTCCAAAAGCCCTAACCTGGCATCACTGCTTACGCTGGTGCAGTCTGAGCCAAGACAGCAGTGCTAGGTTCCGGGATTCACCAAAAGGGGGAAACAGATCGCTTTGCAGAGAGCATGCAAAGTTTTCTGAAGGCAATAGTATGTAAGCCAAAGGAAGGATTTTAGTAAGTGGAGACAGGATGTTCCTGATTGGGCATATCAGAAAGAAAGGTGACAGAGAGAGGGGCACGACCTATGTTTTGAGAAGCTCTGACATGTGACTGGGCACCTACAGGACAGAAGGGGGCAGAGAGAAGTTTGCCACAATAGCCCAGGCAAGGTCTGGCATGGGGTAAACAGTAGGAACAGAAAGAGACTCTCTGAAGGTAAACAGGTCAAGTGAGTGGCAGGGCCAACCCAGGTTTATACAAAGCGAAGGCCCTTTAAAGCTCCAGGACAAGGTTGAGTGTGCAGGAAGGAGCTGGAAGTGATGCTGGACAGGCCCTCGGAAGGACCCGTTTCTGGGGGCCTTCCCATTGTGCAGTTCTGACAGTACTCTGGCAGGCAGGCCAGTACGACATCACACACAATCCTCAAAGAAAAAAGAACCATCCCACATGTCACTCGCCAATGGGCAGCCCTGTGCCCTAAGGAACTGTAAAACGTCTCAGATGACCAGTCACAGGAGGTAAACATAAATATATTAATGACCACGAGGCCCTCAGAGAAGTGGAGAAGTCTCACTTGACGCCATGTGTTGCTCTGTTCACATGGTACTGACTTCTCATTGATCTACAAAGGTGACTAGCATCACGTCCAAAGTCGACATGCAGGCTGTATTAGATGCAGTATTAATGCAGGGTTTTGCTGTTTTATAATCTGAATTTGGGGACATGCAGCACTTTAAAGAAAATACTGCCCACATTAGCTAATGTCCTAAAGCCAAAGGCATTAAAAATCCTGACCCAGAATGATACGTGTATTGCCAAAATATGCAAACTAGCTACAGAAGTTAAAATTGTACCTTTTTTCCAAGTGACAAAGTGTTTTCATTACAGTAAGAACACTCACACTCCACACACATTCAAGAATTGAACCTATGCATTCCTATTTAAAAGGGGCACCTACAATTAACCCTTAGGCATTGCAGAGAAGCTATTCAGGAGGTTCCTGGCTTTCCTATGCCCAGCCAGGGGCAAATGAACCGCCTGCCTGGACCTCAGTTTTCTTGCATGCAAAATCTGCAAGGCTCACCACAGCTGAAGTTTCTAGAATCCACACCCTGGCCCTCACAGCAGCAGGTGCTTCAAAGCATGTCCCATGAGCATACTATGCTTAGAAGCATCCCTGACATTTGACTACAGAACTCAAACCTCATTCACTGATGTCTGATTATCCTAAGAACCTTATCCCACCAACCGAAACGCCCAAGGTCTAAAAAGAATGCTGTGAAATTTCAGAGATACCATTGAATTGGATCTTCAGATGTAATCAAGAATCCACAGAGGGTGCCACTGTGAGCCAGGGAGCACACAGTGTCCCTGGTCCCTGGTGCTGAGACCTGACCTCGCCAGTGCCATGCAGTGGAAGGAGCCCCAACTCACCATGCCACTTGCCCTTGTAAACAGTTCCAAAAGAGCCAGACCCGATCCGAGTGGAGAGCATCACCTCACTGGCTTCTATTTCCCAGTAATAGCTTGAATCTCTCTGTCCACGAGGCCTCTGGAACAAGGAGACCATTCATAAACCCCATGGGATGGCAGTAGCCTGCTGGCAACCCACCCCTACCTGTCCCCATCTTCTAAAGACAAAAATAGTAACTTATTCCAATTGTTTGTCTGAAAAAATTCCAGCTTGTACTAAATTTGACAAGTTGTCAGATATAAGCACACCAAAAATGGCACTGACATAACCTCTTTGATTTATTGTATTTTATTACAGTCCCATCCCCAAATAAACTAAATGCATTCTAATTCCCACAAGTCAGTTCTCACTGGCCCTATGCAGCAGTAGGTACTGCTAGCCATACTCACGATTTTATTTTTCTCCTGGGTCCCAGTTCCTGGTGCCCGCTCCCTTTGTGCTGGCACAGGGGTTTTGGGCTGTGACCAGCCTGTTGGACTCAGGTTGTTGGGACTGCTGGACAGGGCTGAAGGTGAGGCTTAATAGACAAGACAAACAGAATCCACACGTGGATAAGCCAACAGAAGATACACAGCATAAAGAGAAAAAGCCCATTACTGTTTGCTAAATGACAGGGTGAGTACCTGATTCGCTGTGACTTCGAATTGCGTCCTGAAATAGAAAAGGAAAGCTGGTCAAACCCTACAATGGAGAAGTGATTCTCTGGGGGAAGGGAGCAAGGAGGACTTGCAGGAACAAGTGAAATATGAAACCCTCAAACACAGAATGCTCAATTCCATACTCTAGTCAATTCCCCTTGTTAAATCACCAAGCCTCTCCAAGACTGGTTCAATCAAACATTAGATAGACTGATACTAATTTTTCATAAAAACATTCTTTTTCTCAGAAGAGAACAATGTACACAAACTGTACTCTTTCAAGAAAGGCTGCTCAAGTAGTATAGAACACCTTCCTAGAGCACTCAGGGTCCCAAGTTCAAACCCCAGGACTAACAAAAGAAAAAAGGCTAGCAAAGTCACTATTAGCTGAGTCTTTCCAAAGAGAAGGAAAGGAAGAAAAATGTTGGGATTCAGTGGTGAGCTCACTCTTACTCCAGTAGGAGTTAGGGCAAACAGACCAGAAGCTGGGTTTGACACTGCTAAACAGCTACATACTTCATCCAAGCCTAAAATCACAGAGAGCTGCAGAAGCCATTAATCAGTCCCCTGTACCAAACCTGCATTCTACATGTAAAACATGTGAGCAGGTAAAGAGACTTGGCCAGGATCACACAGCAGGAGGGAGATGCTTTTACTCAGCACAAGATGCTGCTTGCTACTTGGGGAGGTGCTGAGGTTAGTTGCATTCTACTTAGGAGACAAGTCAAAGATTATGTTCAAGTTTATTAGAAACTGGAGAATAGTTTAAATCACAGGAGCCTCCAAGAGGCCTGAATCCTAATTTACAAATATTCACTGGGATTGGAATTTCTAGGGAATAGTAATATTAAGCCACTTGGCCCCCATGTCCCCATGTTCTCAGAAGGTGTGATTTTCTGGGAAGTCCTCTGCTCTTTGTGTTTTTTTTGGTACAGCCACTATATGGACAAGATTCTTGTTCCACACAACTACTGTTAGAAGGCTCCCAATCAATGACTTTTGTTTTGGTTTGGCTTTTTAGACAGACACTCACTACGTAACTCAGGCAGTCCTGGAAATCCTCAGCCTCCCGAGTGCTGGGATTATGGGTGTGAGCCACTTGGCTTCTGGTTACATCTTTATAGGAGATAAGGATTCATAAACCAAACTGCTTCTCCATAACCCCATAACCCGAACCCAGTTTTAGCAGCCCTACCCAAGCATCTCAGAGTTTCCAGTACAGCCTAGCTTGGTTCCCAAACCTGGCCGGTCCTCACAAATCACCAGCAGAAGTGCTTTGTGAAGTAAGTCCTCCTCCCCATGCACATGGCTGTGAGGGGAAGGTGGGAACCTGGGGATCCAGGCAGGATGACTGTGAGGGAGGAAAACGCTGGCCAAAAGTAACTGGATTTCAGTAGAACAGGCAATGGCTGTAGCCTCATCATGCAACTAACCTGATTTGTGTCTGTAGTCAAAGCAAAGTTCTGTGTACTTTTTCTTAGCCAGAACTGTATTTCCACGTATACAAGTCTACCATTAGACTTAGTTGACTCTTTAAAAACTCACTTTCAGTGCCCTTGGCTTAGGAAAATCTAACTTGAGAAATTCACCTATCAGCAAGGCCACATAGAGTATTTTTTACTCACATATAATCTGTTGACAAAAAATGCAAACACAGAAACCAGTCTGGCTAGAATATAAAATTTAACTTAGCAATTGTTTCACTTTGACAGCCTACTGTCTGACAGTCTTAGCAATCCTAATTACAAGAAAGCAAAGGCATGAAGAAAATACCTACTCTTCCCCTCACACAAAATCGTCTGGACCACGCCCTGGGAGAAGCATTCAGGATGTTATTCTAGTCCAAAGCAACGAGAATAAAGAAGAATAAAGAACACAGGAAGTATTTAAGTGTATTCAGTTGTGATTAAGGATGAACTAGAAAGCAAACCCAACAAACAGATCACACCAAGCCAGGGAAAGAAACAGTGGCAGAACACTAGCCTTGGGCCCTTTTCCGTCTGCCTAGGTGTCTGCGTACTGAACTTGTGACTCCACCCTTTCATTTCTCAATACAGCCACTTAAAGTCAAGGGTCTTCTGGGCATTTGTAACTGTCCATCAAAGTGGCCTTCGTTCCCACACCAAAATGGAATTACTCCCATCTTCTGTACTGGCTTGCTGACACAGATGGGATGAGTTCAGTTTTTAGCATTTCTTCAGAAGGTTGAATGGCCTATCAATCTGATCATTCAGCTACTCTACAGATGTTACAAATAGGATAATTTTTAATTCCAGGGGCCTGAGAAAAACAATGCAACATTCCTGATCATGTATGAAACCCAAAACTCTCTGTCGTAACAACCAACCAGTCCCAATTAACTGATTGACACTTGTCACCACCCCCAAGGGGCCCTATTACCTCAATCATTCTGCTGTCCACAGGCAGGGTGGTGCTGACCATGTGGACATTAGGTGTGGACGTCGACCTCTGCCTCTGGGAGAGGGAGCCTTCAGAGGAGGGGCTGGAGGTGTTGAAAGTGAAGGCGTGGGGTGTGGAGTATCTGTGCTGGGAACTGGGCAAGGAGGAGAAGGAAAATCTTGTAACTGGCACGCAGACCTCCACACCAGTAAATCTTTCAACTACCTACTTCATTAAGACACGCAGCAGCAACGGGCATTTCTGCATGCAAAGTTTGTGCTTGTAGTTCACACAAAACTACAATACATTTTAAGCTTTCCCCTTTTTAAGAAGTTGCCTCTTACAGAAAACTTTAAATTTTTATAGCATCTTAGGGGGAAAAAAACCACATTAACATTTGCCAAACACTACCACCTACTAAGCCAGCTGGAACTTGCCCAGTTTAATTTAAAGGCTAACTTAGAGAAGTTTAAAGAGGATTTTAAACACCTGCTGAGCACACATACAAGGCCAGGATCTGACCACTGTACATTGCTCCCTACACCAGCACACAAAGGAAATGAAGGTGAATTCAGTCTTCATATTTGCAATACCTAGCTGTGGAATTAATTGCTGTCTTCTTTCAGCCAACACCATTCTCCCACCAACCACACTGGGGACATGCATTAAATATAACCTTTTGGGCTGGGGATGTAGCTCAGTGGTAGTGTCTGCCCACTTTCTGTCAGGTCAGGGGTCCAATCCCCACATGTCAAAACAAAACCAACACAAGTACTGAGGTTGGGTTATGGCTCCGAACCTATGCAAGGCCCTGGGTTCCAGCTCTAGAACCAAGGGAAAAAAGTGTAACATGTACCATTTCATGACTTGCTCTAAAGATGAGCTGGAGTTTTGCTCAGACTCAGATAACGTCAGGTGTGAAGTCAGGGGATCAAGGCTGGTTTTCACAGGGACATTTGTCTACTGCCTTAAACCCCCACCTCCCCATAGCTCTGCCTTTATTCCTTCACAAGCCCAGTTTCTTCCAACCTTCAAAGGCAAGTACTGCTTTTTGGTCAAATGTGATTTTAAAATTATCAGAAATAGTTCAAGTCATACACAAATCTGTTATCATTTCAATAGAAATTCCTTGTTCTAACATGCCACCTTTAACTACGTCCGTGGTGGTTTTCCAAGGGCCATTAAATACTGTCTGATCTCACACACATTATGGTCAGGTATTTTAGACACAGATTTTATTTTAGGATTTAATTCTTATGTTAACACTGAACAAGATATGACCTCAACTAAGCTCTTGTTTTTAAAGGTGGAAACAGTAAAGACAAACTATATGCAAACTCACAGACATTAGAAAGAATAGTTATATCATAAGGAAATTCATTCTTTTGTGCAATAAATGCTAATAAAAAATTAAAATGAAGAAGGATATTTATACTGAAAATCTAATTAGATTCTTTTTAAGATAGCAGACTATAAATACCATGGCTTTAGCAATCCAGGCCATACAAGCATCTCAGAGTTGAGAGTTTTGTTTTTATTAAATTACCACATTCAGTTGGGGACCCTTTGAGGAAGGCAAACTTAGGCTTCTGAAAACGTCCTAAGAAAATAAGGCACGTGTACAACAACAGAGCTCTCTGCAGGAGGACCAAAGGAGACACCACCAAAAACCCGCAAGGGTCTGCACAGTGGAGGCGGTAAAAGGAACTAACTCTTGCCTTCCATATTTGGGTTTCCCACCCCACCCACCCACCCAATATAATTTTCCAAAAGAAAAACTACAGATAAAAAGTTACCTGACAGGCATCCGGGAAACAGACTCTCGCATCCGACGCATCGTCAAGGAGGGCAGTGCTGGGGCCCCACTCTCACCCATTGTGGAGTTTGGAAACAGCCTATGAGACCAGGGAAGACTGCTCTTAGACCACCCAACGTTCCCCAGGCTCATTTCCCACAGTGCTTCAGGAGCCTGGCCTAAAGGACTACAATCCACATGGCTGCGTTTGACTACATTTCTAGGACGTACTGGTCTGATGGCCAGTTGTATCAAAATAATGTTTTTAAAGACAAAAATAAATAAATAAATACATAAAGTTATAGTATGGTATTTTACAATCCATATCACTGAGCTTTTCTGGAAACACTGTCTTAGAAACACTTTCATGAAAATAGTAAAATACGAAGAATAAACCATATTTAAAATCAGTGCTGTCAGGTGTGGTAGTGGTAATCCCAGTACTCAGGCTACAGAGACAGGATTGTGACTCAAGGCCAACTCAGGCAAGAAGGTTAGTGAGACCACGTCTCAACCAGTAAGAGTAGTGCACAACTGTAATCCAGCTAGTCAGGAGATGTTAAGTGGGTGAATGGTGGTCTGAGGCTAGTCCTGGGCAAAAATGAGAGGCTTTATCTAAAAAAATAGCAAAAAAGAAAAGGGTTGGGGGCATAGCTTAAGTGGTAGAGCCTAGTAAGTGTGAGATCCTTAGTTCAAACTCTAGTACTGCAAAAATAAATAAATAAGCATGAAATTGCTAAGTACAAGTGCCCAGCTCGTGAGGTGAAGGTGCTCAATCAATGATATGATCCTCTAGAACAGCAGGTTGGACCTATTGTCTATCAAGTAGATACTGACCCTGTGATTCAATGAGGAAAAAAACAAATGCATGTGAAAGCTGAAGCCGTTTTCGGCTTTTCTCTCTTACAGTAACCTCAGCTAGGTTGCTCAGACACTGCTATATATTTTTGTTGAGTATGTTAAACAGAGGCTTTTTTTTTTTTTGGTGGTAGGGAGTAACTGGGGTTTGAACAAAGGGCTTTGCTCTTGCAAAGCAGGCCCTCTACTGCTTGAGCCACACCTTTAGTCTTTATTTGCTCTGGTTATTTTGGAGATGGGGGTCTTGCTTTCTGTCCGGTACAGTTTTGTCCAGTCCTATTTTAAGCTTTCCGCCACAGCTGGGATGACAGGCACATGCCACCACATCCAGCTTTTTCCACTGAGATAGGATCCCGCAAACTGTTTTGCCCTGGTTGGCATGGACCGCTATCCTCCCCATCTCAGCTTCCTGCACAGCTTGGAATGACAGGTGCATGCTTCTGCGTCCAACTAGTGGTTGAGATGGGGTCTCAGGAACTTTTTGCCTGAACTGGTCTTGAACTACTGTCTCAGCCTGTAAGTCCCTAGGATTATAGGTGTAAGCCATCACTCCTGCCTCTGAACAGGCCTTTGACACTGTGAAAGGAGTACTGTTTCCTTTACCTCACACTGGAGAAAAAAGGGTTTGGGCTTAAAATAGAGTATAAAGTTCTAAAGACTCTTATTTCTATCAGGAGACAAACCAGTTACCAGCTACGGTCCTGGGGTTTGAGCTTGGGGCTTCATGCTTGCCAGCCACGTGGTCTACCAGTTGAACCACTCCACCAGCTATGTGTGTGTGTGTGTGTGTGTGTGTGTGTGTGTGTGTGTACACGTGTTGGGTAATTTTGAGGTTAGGGTCTTGCTTTTTGTCCAGGCCGGCCTCAACAGTGATCCTCCTGACTCTGCTTCCTAAGTAGCTAGGATTACAGGCCTGAGCTACTGGTAGCCAGCCTCATAAACAAAGTAGTTTACTATTTTATTAATTTTATTAAGTAATCAAAGTTTAATTTAAAAGTACGGTTTCTACAGTGCCTTTTAAAAGCCTACTGTAAACAAGCATATGAAAAGTAAAGTTTTATATAGTTTTGTGAGTGTAGAAAAACTCAGGAAAGCATTATCATTAAACCGTAGTGGGAACAGCTTTTTAGCTTTCTCAGCAGTCATATGTTGATTTGCAGAGAGCTTGAGTAAAATAAATGGCACACATTTGTAGTCCATCACACACATGTCAAAATCAGTGCCACCAAAAGAACAATCATGTTTGTGAGACAGATGGTTTCTGGATCACAGTGACCATCATTTAACAAGTCTAGAACCCAGACTACTGGTCAAAATGTACAATAAGCACCCTCAAAAATGTCCACACATTTTGTAAATGGGGGGTGGGGGAGAGATTGTTTTAAAGAACAACAATAACAATGCCTTACAAGAGTTGTCTGATATTACTCCAGTCCACACACATAGTAGGTACTTTGGTACTACAGTGCTCGTGAAATTTGTAGCCGCAAGTCTGACATCGAAATCCATTTAGCAGGAACTTCTGGCAGATGTCACAAAATGCAAGCTTCAGGAACGTCTTCCGAGCCTATATTGAGAACACAGATGCGAAATTATGTTTAGAAATGAAAGACAATCAAAGATGAAGTAATTTCCTGCCTGGCCCTCAAAAGAGATTTTTACAAATGAAGGAATCACACTTCCAACATTTGTAAACTTCATAAACCGAAATTAAAATACACCTCTGGTTACTGAGCTCTAACTTGCCTACTGAAAAACCATGGCATAACTAGAACTTTCCACGGTCCAACAATACACACATGCTGGTGGCTCTGAGAACACAGAAGAGGTCTGCACTTACAAAGTTGTGTGTGGTAAGGGGAACATGGTCCAGGAAATCCACTTGAAGTTCTTCTCCAATCAAAGAGGCGGCATCAGTATTCCAGTCTAAACGTGCTTTTTTACTAAAGAGTGTTCAAAACAGCATGAAAGGAAAACGTTGAGACAAGGTTCAATTCTAGTAACAGTAGCCACCATAGTGCGTGCCATTGCAGCACAGCTTATTTAACCCATACAATAAACCCGTGAAGTAGGCATTACTGCTCCCACTGAAAAATGAGAAAACTGGGACTCTATGGAGATAACTTGCATAGAAGTGAATGTAAGGCCCTGTGTTAAGAATCCAGGTCTGAAGCCAGGTGTGATGGTGCACACCTGTAATCGCACCACTCAGGAGGCTGAGTCAGGAGGATCTCGCATTTTCAGCCAGCCTGGACGACAAAGTGAGGTGAGACCCTGTCTCAAAACCAACAAAGTGGCCAGGCACCAGAGACTCACACATGTTATCCTAGCTACTCAGGAGGCAGGGATCATGGTTCAAAGCTAGCCCAAACAAACAGTTCGAGAGACCCTATCTTGAAAAAAACCCATCACAAAAAAAGGGCTGTCAGAGTGGCTCAAGCGGTAGAACACCTGCCTAGTGAACGTGAGGCCCTGAGTTCAAACCCCACTATCACTAAATAAATGAAATGAAACAGAATTCAGGTCTGCTGAACTCCAAAGCTTGTGCTCTGAGAATAAAGTTTTCTTTAAATAATGAAATATAAGAATAAAGTGAACTTTGTGTCATTAAAGCCCTATAAAATGGGTTATAAACATTACTACAATGTTCAGATTTAGAATGTTCAATGGCCTATTTCAATCTAGAATATGTATAAACAGGAACTACAAATGCACTTTTGCATTAACAACAGACTCAAATCTGTACAACTGTTCACAGGGTCCATAAAAATAAGTCCATGACACTTAATTGCCTTAAAACTTACTCTGAAACCACTCTTTCCATGCCCAGAATAAACAAGACAGGAAACTGCATCGCAAAAATTAACTCTGATGCCCTGGTCCATTTCCTGAAGGATGAATGTTCTTGGGTAAGGAGGGCACATATAACCTAGCGCCACTCAACCCTCTCCATCGCCTACCGGAAGCTTAGTCAAGCCCTTCTGGTTATCCCCACCCCACCCCACCCCTGCCATATTAAGTCTAGGAAACTCCTTATCACTCTATAGTTCTGTTTTATTCTAGAAGCAGGGAGGAAGCCCCACTTTCTGATGAGCCTGCAGGAGCTACCTGTCCTAAAGAGAACCCAGATCAGGTCCAAATCAACCAAGCTCTGAAGAAGAGTAGACAGAGCCCTTCCCCATCTCAGGCTCTCTCTAGTCCTTAAGGATTGGCTTGGACCCAAACCTGGGACTAATGGTGCTAAAGCTGACATCTGCTTCAAAGATCTGCCCTTCAGCAAACTGCCTCCTTAACTGAGAAGAACAGACCCACTGATGTAGACCCATGCCCTGGGCCATTCCCTCAAACTGGGAATCTCCCTGAGTCATGAAGCTGAAACCTGAAGATCAGTAACAGAAGCGCTGCTGTCCAAAAATAGGGCAAGGTTAAAAGAACCTTCTGACAGGTTTCCCCATATTTGGCGGGAAACAGTGGGCGGTTCTGTTGCTATGGGGTATTGCTCTTATCCTTTGAGGAGATGCCTCCAGCTTGTTACCACCATTACAAATAGGATGAGCTTTCCCAAAGGCACAAACTCTTCTGCATCTTTTAGCCCCTGGCTGTTAGCCAGAATTCACTGCAGATTCAGATTCACAATTGGAACAAAGATGAATGAGAGGAGCAGAGAATGGAATTTGGGAGTAGACGGTGCTTAGCCTGACCAGGCCCCAGGTTCACTCAATCTCTAGTACCACCACAAAAAAAACCAAAACGGAAATGCATGAATGACACAACTGATCTCTTGAGGACAGCATTCTTTTTTATTGTTATTATTTAACTATAAACACATTTTTGGAGCACCTACTCTGGAAATGCAATTATAGCAAATACAAAGAAAAATCTTTGCTCTTAAAAGCATACCTTCTGGGCTGGACACGGTGGCTCACACCTATAATCCCAACTACTTAGGAGGCAGAGGCTGGGAGAACCACATTTGGAATAGCCAGTCTGGGCAAAAAGTTAGCAATACCCTATTTCAACAGGAAAAAAAGCTGAGTGTGGCGGCACACACCTATCATCGCAGCTACATGGAAAGTTTAAGTAGGAGAATCCTATCCAAGGCCAGCCCAGCAAAAACTGAGAGACCCTTTCTCAAAAATTCAAGTAGTAGAGCACCTACCTAGCAAGCTTGAGGCCAAGTTTTAGTACCATAAAAAAAAAAAAAAAATCCGTGCCTATAATATAATTGTTTCCATTCCTGGAAACAAGATGCACACCTATCATGTATTTTATTTTTCAAGAGAATATCCAGGCAATAGTTTCAAGTTCTTAGTACCACATTTTTCTAACTTCTCTCTTTAAAAACAAAGACATAAAACACACTACTCCACAGGAAGCAGGATAACTACTCTGGATGGAGGCAGGCTACAAGAGCCTCGCTATTCCTAAGGAGGAGCAAACTGACTGTGGCGCTCTTACCCCTTGTGTTCCTGGAGAAGTCTGAACACCGCGCAGCACTCCGGCTGGAGCCCCCTCACCTTCAGAGCTTTCATAAGGCAATCATGCAAGCTCATTCCATTCCGCACATTGACCTGCAAACAAAAAACCACCTTTAGGACCAACACGGGCGGGAGCACCCCTTGCAAAGATAGGCATAGAAATAAACATGCCAAGTTATAGGGACTTGTAGAAGATTTATGACAGCCCTGTTTGCAATGGCAAGCACTACACACACACACACACACACACACACACACACACCCCAACCTGCATGTCCAGCAGTAACAGTGCTTGAACTACAGCGCGTCCACACTCACATGATGCATTTGCTGTATATTACTTATAATTACCTAAAGGGAGAGGAGTCTAGGAAATGTTAATTAGTAACAGTATTTAAAATATGCTTATGCATGCTGTATGAATGTGGAAAGATAAACCTAACTGGGTGGGAAGGGTACAACAACACTTCCCTGTATAGTCTCCCATTCTCTTAACTCACAGTGTATACAGAAGCATGAACACCCACCAGAAAGGAAAATATGTCAATACGATCTATACATAAACGTAAGATGAGTTTTTATGATAATAATTTCTCTAGTTCCAAAACGGCTGGCTGGTCTTCCTACCAAAAATTCTACCTCACACCATGTACTTACTTTGCACTAGTACGGCCAAATATGAACTGGCCAAAACAGAGCTTCTGCCCTTCTCTAGGTAGGGACAAACACCAGTGTTAGTTTAATTGCATGTACACTTGTACCAAACAGCCTTCACAGCACACACCCTGCACATTCCCTTGAATCCAATCCTCAAAGGCTAGGTGGGAGCTCGAAGGCGTAGTGGGAAGTGTGTGTGCCTACAGTACTATCAATGGCAGCTGTATGAAAATCTCAGCCAGGCTGGCGAGTGGCTCAGGTGGTAGCACAACTGCCTAGCCGAGTCCAACACCCAGTAACGCCAAAAAAAAAATTTAACTGAAATCTTAAGAGTTTGGAGAAAAGCCCTCCACATTTTGCTTTCAAAGCTGAGAAAGTTAATAACAATAAGACAAACGTAGTCAGTCAAGTCAGCAAGGGTGGTAGAAGGCAGGTGGCAGGGCCTGTGAAAGGCCTCTGGTGGAGCTCCTCCTTGGCTAGAAGCCAGCTCTGCCAGAGGCCATCCTAGCCAAGCTGTCTCTGGATGGCTTACGAAGAGACAGAAATCTTAAACAGATCAGAGATATGAGGGACTACCCAATCACTAGGGTGGGAACAGGCCACAGGATCTGGGTCAAAGGAAAGGAAAAGAAACCACCTGGTGGGAAAGGGGGAAGCATAAGGAATCTGAAAACATCAAGGAGGGGCATACAAAAACTTTCTTCACAAAGTGTGTCATTTTGCTATTACTGGCCACTGACGGGGATGCATTTGTCCACTCATCAATCTTTGAAGCGTAAACATGGCTTCATGTTGGGAGGAAAAAAAAAAAGCACAGTACAAAAAAATCTGAATCTATAGAACAAATAAGTACAGGAGGTGATAGGAATGGAGGAGGAAAGTCTCCTGAAGGATCAGTTATCTGGGAGGAAAGAAAAGGGCTTTTCCAAATTATAAAAGCTCATGAGGAGACTGTGACAGACTCCTGGGTATTGAGAGTGTGTCCATCTGATTCTTCCAAATAGATTCCAGTCTGCTTAGCACAGGAATCCTGAAGGAAGAGCTGGGCAACTGGGCAGGAGCAAGGGTCGCCTAATATCTTTCACCCATGTGAATACATTACCTACACAAAAATAAATAAATAAAATTGACATTCTTTCAAAGTCTCTTGTACATACCAAACTAGTTCAGACAAATGGTATCTGGGATTTGTGTCAAAATAATTAGTAAGGAATGGGTGGGAACACAGATTAAACAGAGTAAGTGTAAAATAGGTGGTGCATATATTAGAATAATTATTCTAATCTGTCTACTTTCGAAGGTATTTTTAAATGCTGCATGAGTCTATCTTAAAGGTTTCTTCGAACAGTGATAGCCTTAGAACACCCCCTTAACTTCCCGAAAAACAAGCCAAGTCAGATGTATTTCCACTGATCTGCACTACAAAGATAAGACACATGCAGAATCACGGCCTGCGTCACACAGGGCAGCAGTGCCTGAAAAGCTGTACAATGGTGTCCGGATTTATCACTAATCTTCACTCAGAGTCAGACTCTGAGAGCTGGAGAGTTCTTCAAACACCCCCTACACCACTGAGGTCCCAATGTAGGTGGCATTAGAATCAGCCACAGAGCTTGTGAAAACAGATACTGAGCCTCCCTGCCTCAGTAGTCAGGATTTGGATTAAGTTAATTTGGAGTGAAGTCCAGGAACCTGCATTTTAACTTGCTTATCAGGTGGTTCTGAAGGTAGTGGTTCTCAGCGGCAATCACTCTCACTCATCCAGTAACAATGAGTGTGTGCTGAGGGAACAAAAACAAGCTGTGAACGGTTGATACGTCTGGAACCCCAGCTACTCTGGAGGTGGAAGCAGAGCAGGCTTAGCAAGACCCTATCCCAAAAACAAAATAAAAACGCAAAAGGGCTAGGGTGTGGCTCAAATAGTAGAGCACTTTCAAGGTCCTGGGTTCAATTCCCAGTACCAAAAAAGAAAAAACAAAACGACAAAAAATATGTTCAAAAAATAATTTTTAGGTCCTCTTTTTTGGTTCCTAAGAATGATGACTGGGTGTTCACACCATTTCTTGACATGTGCCTCCCTCAAACCTTGTTTTGACGTCGGGCACATTACCTGTCTCATGGGGAAAACAAGAAAATGATTTTATCAGCTACACATCCTTCCAACTCTCCTCTTGCCTACCCCCCACGCATATAGCTGGATAGTCTCTGCAGACAAGTGAGTGATTAGGAGAGTCATTCTGGGTTCCCAAAGCAAAGCCTCCTGGGAATTGCAGAAAATGCTGTTGGCTGAGGGTGCTACCTGACAAGTGACTCCTCCTCCACCACTGCTCCTCCAAAAAGACACTGATTTTCCCAGACAGATGGCCCATCTCTGGCCAAATAAATAGGAGAAACTAACCTTCTCTGCGAAAACCTTCTCAGAAGCTACAGGAGGTGTCAAGTTTCTAACTTACTGGTCCCCATTACCTGCTGGGCTTGAAGGAAGGCTATCAAGGACTACATTAAAAAGTTCAGAAATAACTGTAGTTGCCACTGCACTAATGAATCAGCCACCATACTAAGTAAGCATGAGCCCCCATGACAAAGGTCAGGAAAAAGAGGCCCAAGCTATCACATAACTTGTCTAGATGACACTGCTAATAAAATAAACAGGAAATTTAAGTTTGGGCCTGGCTGTCATAGATCCATACAACGAGCCACGAAGTCAAATGAAGTCTCCTAGCCATCTAGGCAAACTGGCAGAGATGGCAATGGAGAAGAGAGTGTTTAGTAAGATCAGAAGAAGGGCCAATGGTCTTCAGACTCCCTAACATTCACAATTACCACTGTGAGGTCAGTAAGAAACTTAATGAAAAACAGGAAAAAAAAAATCACCTTACAAATCAAAGACCACTGTTCAAATATAGAAGACTGCTACTAATCTCCTATATTGACATAAATTGACAGCCTTTATTTTTAAAAAGGGGAACAAAACCAGATTTACTCACACTTTATCTAGTAGGCCTTGTGAGTTTTGTCCTCAGCTCACAATGCACCTAAGAATCCAACACTACAATTCAGAGGCTCCGTAGGTTCACAAAAGGAGTATAAAGGAATTTATTAGCACACTAGGGAGAAGGGAGGTGTCAGAAGTAAAGTGAGAAAACTCTGGACTGACTTCCCAGCCTTCTTGCATTGCTTCCACCTGCATATGTGCAAAATGAACACAAGGCATTGAGTTTACACAAAGAGTGGAAGACTGGAAAAGAAAAAGTGTGGAAGTTTTAAATGAAGGTTTTCTCCAATGTCTCAGCAGGGCCTGAGGCACAATTCAAGTGATAAGAGCACCTGTCTGATAAGCATGGGGGCCTGAGGTCAAGTCCCAATAACATTAATAAAAAAAAAAAAAAAAAAAAAAAAAAAAGGCCTCACCAAACAAAACCAATGCCATTTCACTTTTGTTTCAACCAAGTGTGTTTTTTGTTTATCATTTTTGTTTTTAATCCAGAACAGTAGAAAACTTTATTGAGCAGTAAGTTCTTAGAAAAACTGAGGTTTGGTATCAGAAATCCAGTGACAGTATTGCCATGGTGCCAACATGAACCTGTCACTGGTACTAGAAAACTACTGTACAGAAAGAACTGGTGCCCAGGGGAAGACCAAGCCACTGTGAATTCTTAAGCTACCTCTAGATTTGTTTGTCCTGAGCCTATGAAATATACCAAAATAATTTTTAAGTTATTTTCCTTTCTTCATATTTAACTGTAATATCCAAAAAATTTGAGGTGAATATTATGCTCTAAGAGAAAAAATAAGTGTCTTTGTAGGAGGTGTGGCTCAAATGGTAGAATGCCTTCTTTGCAAGAGTGAGGCCCTGAATTCAGACCCTAATCCTACCCAAAAAAATAAAAAATGTCTTTGCAGTTGGAAAGAAGCAAAGAAAATTTCAAACAAAAGTCATAGGAATAGCTCCCATAAAAACATACTAGTCTGGATGAAAAGGCAGAACGGAAACCATTCGGGGCAACTAACAACCAGAAAGTACGAGAGTCACAGCAGGGAGTGTGGAGGGACAGTGGTAAGAGGAAATAGAACCTGCACTTGGGAGTCTGCCTCAGCAACAGTATGATTTGCTGGTCTATAAGCTGGGCAACGCAATTCATAATCACTAAATTTCCCGAACGGAATGTTCACATACCACTGTTCTTTGCTTATTCGGCAAGAAAACGCGGATAGTGTTGCTTGTCTTAGAAGAATCTGTAAGTTTGCCATCATCTGAGGCCCGGCGCTGATAGCCAAACTGCTGGACTATTGTAGGGGAGATGCAGCTGGAGCCATCAAACACCGCATCTTTGAGCCCAAAACCATTGCTGATCGTCTTCCAGGCTCCCTGGATGTGCTCCATTGATGCGGCTTAAACAAGCCTTAAACCTGGGAAGAAAGACCAAGAGTTCTAATAGTGAAACAAATGCACGTAACTCAGGAACACAGCATGAAGAGTAGCTGTGAACAGAGTGGTGCTTTGGGTTTTTATAATTCATAAACAAATTAATCAGGAAAGAAAAGCCTCTATAATAGTATATTTGCATAAAATATTCTGTAGGTACATCAAAAACAAGGAAATGGAGACAGAAGTTGAAAGAGCTATGGATGGCTACATTGCCAGTTAAGTGAAACTAGAACAAGAGCTCAGGCCTCCTGAGTTCTCATCTGACACTTTCTTAGTTACATAGTTTTCTTCCTTGGGTACTGCACATTAAATGTGAGTGACTACCCCAGCTGTGAGGAACATATATTGGTGCCATGAGAATTACCGGGGGAAGGGGAGGGTTGTTGGTTCTGCCTGCAAGGAAGAAAAAGGAAACTTATTCCTAGGATGTATGTTAGACGCTATATACATACTCAAATGCATATATATGTCAGTTGATGCATACATAAACTACCTCACAATCTGCATTAAAAACGGAAGATTTAAAAGCCTTTCCTACATCCACTCTTTCTCTTTTAAACCACAGAAATGCACCCCCTTGCCCAAGAGCCTCAGGGACTAGGGATAGTAACTAGATCTGTTAAGAGCCCATGAATTTTCCAATGTGACTTTCAGAATTCAGTTTTGGTGCAGGGACAAAGGTTATAAGCAGAAGCGAGGAGAGAGTCTCATAACCCAACATAAACAAATGCTTTAGACAACAAAACCACACAGTAAGTCGCTCAGATACGCCCTCAGATGTGAGGCACCGGCACTGGCTTACAAGTTAACAACCACACAGAAGCCAATGGCTGGCTTCCTTCTTTAGAAAACTGAAAGGGTGAGAGGGAATTCCGTCCTTTTCAAGCTTTCTTTCAGAAATTTGTTTTGTCTTACTAACAATAGCTATGACTTACTAGAAGCCTACTATCATGAGGCAGTGTATACCATATGCATCCGTCCCACTTCTAGGACCCACCTAATCCTTACAGGGGTACTTTAGGTAGGAAATGCACCCCCACGGGAAGCTGAGAGAACTCTCACACACAGCTTTTAAGTGTTAGAGCTGGGCTTCAGAACTTAGCTACTCTGACTCTGTATCCCTTACCCTCCCATCCACAACTCTGACACACAAAGCCATCCAGTTAAAGCAGAAACAGCCTAGAATTAAAGACCATATAATCCAAACCTGCTGTTTTCAACCAAAACTTTCTATCTGAACCCCCATTATTTGCTAAACTCTCTGAAATCAAGAAAGGTGGCTAGATATTAACTATAGTTGGCCATATCCCATGTCAGTGGAATCAACCAATCACCAATCAAGAATATTTGAAAAAAAAAAGTGCCATTAAAAAATAATTCTTGTCATTACTGCCTGAACAAAACAGTGTACAACTATTTCAGTGGCGTTTATAGTATATTATGGGTTGGGAGTGAGGCTCAAGTGGTAGAGCACCTGCCTAGCACCAAGTGTTAAGGCTTTGAGTTCAAAACTAACACTGTCAATAGGAAAAAAAAAAAAACACAAGCCTCAGACCACAAGAAATGCAATACATATATCTGGAAAATGACTCGTGTCCAGAACACGTGGTATTATTACATATCATAAGTAATCTAGAGGACAAAGCACACTGGCATGTGTAGGTTCTACACAAGAACTGTACCATTCCACAGAGGGACGTAAGCAAACAGCTTTGGAATTGGGGAGGGGAGAGGTCCTGAAACAAATCCCTGGCAGATACTGTGGGACAACTATACCTTTAACTGACAGAGAAAGCAGAAAAAATTTTTAAAAATTTTCCACTGCCATCACAAGATCACTTACAGTGAGGCATGCTACATCAGTGCTTCTAACATTCACTGTAGTCAAAGGAGATATGAATCAGATTTGCAAGACATGCTGATGTAAGCAGACAGTGCTACTCCAGCTTTGGGGTGACAAGCCCAGGATTCAGGGCCAAGAGTTCTTTCAGTTGCCCCAGGGCAGACAGACACACTTCCAGCCTCAACAAAGATAACTCTGTAAGTATTCCGTAATCAATTTACTAAAGGACAAACGTGGGAAAACAAGAAAGACGCATCTTCTTAAAAAACAATCAGCAGGCTAGAGGGCGTAGTTCTACAGGGAGGCAGAGCGCTTGTAAGAGCAAGGCCCAGGGTTTAGTGGGGAAGGAGAGGGGCGGGGAGGGGAAGGGGAGGGCCAGAGACCAGGCTGAGACTAGGTAGAGCTAGCCCTCTGTTCCATGCAGTTAATGTTCTGTTAAAACGTGTACTTACACTCATACACATAAACACACCTAGACATATACTAAAACTAGATAAGTCAAAGTAAAAACCAGCCCTTCACATAGGAGAGGTCATTCACAGATTCACATTAAAGTTCTGAAAACAAATGCATCCTCCTAGGGATGGAAAAGTTATCATGATCAATCATTTAAAGAAACATATAGACCTTGCTATGAAGAATTATTATTACCAATATACAAAGAACTCTTGAAAATTGATAAGAATACACAGAATTTTTTGGATGCAGTACTGGGGTTTGATCCCTGGGACTTCGCCTTAAGCCACTCTACCGGCTTTTTTTTTTTTTTTTTTTTTTTGTGATGGATGTTTTTGAGATAGGGTCTCTCAAACTATTTGCGAGGGCTGACTTCAAACCTTGATCCTCCTGATCTTTGCTTCCTGAGTAGTTAGGATTACAGGTGTGAGCTGCTGGAGCCAGGATGAAAACATGGAATTAAATTAACAGAAAAACAAACAACAGCCAATGAACACATATGTTTATATATAAAGAAGGAAACTACAAATAAAGAAAAACTGAAATAAAATACTGAAAACATCCATCACAGGCATGAGGAAATCTACCTTCTCATTATACTGCTGGTAAAAGTGTAAACCACAACAAGGGAAAGCAAGAAAGACTTCCCAGGAAAGAATGCTGCCGACATGCTGGCTAACAGTCTGATTTATAGAATATTTACCCAAGGGCTGGGGCTGCAGCTAGTTCTTGCTTATCATACAGGAAGCCCTGTATTCCATCACCAACACCACCAAAAAGAAAAAAAAGAAAAACATCTTTAGTTTTATCCATGAAAAAAATATCATTTGATGCTATGAAAAATCCTACTTTGTTTTTCCTGAGCAATTTTTTAAAACAGAAAACTTTTAGGTTCTAAAAAGAGCATATTTTATACATTTATTTCAGCTAGAAAACCATTAACTGTGTGGCTTAACTTCTACCGTGCACTTCTCATGTGCAAGAACAAGGCCAATGGTATCTGTCCCCAATACGGATTAAAACACTTCAAAGGACTAAACCTGTAGTAGTATCAAAAAGAAACCATTAGCCAGGCACCAGTGGCTGGCTCACGCCTATAATTCTAGCTACTCAGGAGGCAGAGGTCAGGAGGATTGTGGTTCAAAGCCAACCTGGGCAAATAGTTCAGGAGACCTATCTAAAAAAAAAATCCTCACGAAAAAGGGCTGGTGGAGTGGCTCAAGGTATAGACCCTGAGTTCAAAGCCCAGTGCTGCACAAAAAAAAAAAAAAAACCTTTCTTTCTTTTTCTTGGTGGGACGGAGTTTGGTAGCAGGCACTCTACCACTTAAACCACTCCTCTGATCTATTCTGCTCTGGTTACTTTGGAGACAGTCTCTTGAACTATTTAATGGACTTGCCTCAAACTGCGATTCTCCTGATCTCAGCCTCCCAAGTAGCTAGGATCACAGGCAGGAGCCCCCACCACCCAGCTCCAATAGTTTTTTAAAAGATAAATTTTAAATGCTAATAGTATTTATCCAACTTTTCAAAACACTTACCACATAAAAGTCTATTTAAAAGTACATTTGTACCATTTGAAGATAACTTTGGTAACAAAGTTTATATAGAAACTAACTATAAAATTTCATTTCTAGCCAATGATAAAAATACTTTCAGACTGGTGGAGTGGCTCAAGTAGTAGAGTGCCTGTCTAGCAAGCATAAGGCCCTGAGTTCAAATCCCAGTATAACCAAAAAAAGGCTTTTTTAGATAGGTCTCTCCACATATACAAAATAGTAGCTTTTTATTATCACAAAAGTTACCAGACCATAAACACTTACTGGTGAGGTAGTCTGAGAGCTTGTATTTTACAGAATAAACATTTACCTTTTTTTTGCCTGCCAAAAAAGACAAGACATATTTGGAATTTCATTTACTGTGACAGCTAAGTTCTATAAGTACTTCAGAAGCCTACAGTTTACTTAATTATGAATTCTTCTCATCTATCCTAGAATTCAGATTTGTCAGGTTCTAAGCTGCTTCCTTCTGCATTTCAGAGCCCCTTACTCTCCCTGGTAGGCACAGATAGGCTCTGAAAGACATCAGGGTGTTTGACAGAAAAAGGGAGCAAGTTGGGTGCCAATGGCTCACTCATTATCCTACCTACTCGGGAGGCTGAGATCAAGAGGATCTTGGCTCAAGGCCAGCCTGGGCAAATAATTTGCAAGACCCCCATCTCTAAAAAAAAACAGAGCAAAATGGACTGGGGATGTGGCTAAAATGGTAAAGCGCCTGCATTGCAAGCACAAAGCCCTGAGTTCAATCCCCAGAAAGAATGAGCCAGGTGCCAATGGCTCACACCTGTAATCCTAGCTACTCAGGAGGACCAGGGTTCAAAGCCAGCCCTAGGCAAACAGTTCAAGAGATCTTGTCTTGAAAAAAAACATCACAAAAAAGGGGGGAGGGCTGGAGGAGTGACTCAAAGGATAAGAGCACCTGCCTATCAAGTGTGAGGCCGAGTTCAAACCCTAGGTGCTAGGGGCGAATAGCTTTCCATAGACACCCACTTGGCAGCTGTCAATCATGAGCTTGTATACATTTCTCTGAATCCATGTTTTCTCAAGTCTCAAGGTGGTATGTCCCACAGATCCACCAAAACAAAAAGTTTTGCCTTTAATAAAAGGCTTCATGCTTCATTCTGCCATGGAGTTTTGAGGACATGTTTGCTTTAATCATGTAATTCATGGTTTTTATAGTATAAACTCTTTCAAAACTATATCTTTTTACTTGGGAGGTGGAGGTAGGAGAATCGAGAGTTCAAGGCCAAACTGGGCAAAGTTATCGAGAACCATTTAACTCAAAAAAAGAGGGTAGGGGTGGGCTGGCGTAAGGGCTGAAGTAGTGGAGCGCCTGCCTAGAAATGCCAAGGTCCTAGGCTCAATGCTCAGTACTGGAGGAAAAAGAAGAAGAAAAAACCTGTATCTTTTTAAACCAAAATGTACATTTTTATTAACATAGTTTACTTGTCACAATCTCTCAACCTCATTGATTCCTCTTTAGACGGTGAAATCTTTCCTATATTCAACTTAAAAATAAAAATAAAAAACCAAGTTCAAAGATGTAGTAAACACTGCTGAGTTTAAGTGCTGAGTTATGCAGCCAGGGAACTCACAAGTGAGCCAAAGCCAAGTCCCTCAACAACCTGACAGCTGGCTATCTTGCAATTCGTTTCTACTTTGCATTCTTCACACTGTGCTGCAGTGTAAGCTAGCACCCACTGTGATGCCTTCTCCTATACCTAGCTTCTTCTGGGAAAGTCTTCAAAAACTCAAGTCTCTTCCCAAAAATGTAACTCACTATTTTTTTTAAGCTGAGACATGACTCATTAGTATTCAGGAAATCATTTTGCCAAATCATGACCTGACCTTTTTTTTTTTTTTGAGACAGGGTCCCATTATGTTCCTAGCTGGACTTGACCTCAAGATCCTCCTGCCTCAGCCTCCCATTCAGGATTACAGGTGTGCCCAATCAAATCATGTTGAGCAATGACTAGCTTTCTTAAAAAACAGAACAGAATGTATCATACATATTAGACCTTCTTAATCATTCTAATTTCTACTTTAAAACAGAAAATACTTACCAATCATGATAATTATAATTCCTACAGGTCATTTTTATCAACTGACCCTTGGGGTCAACCAAAATTCCAAAACCAATGGAACAGTGGTGGCTACTGAGCCAAAATTTATTAAATATTAAAATGTATGTAAATTAAGAAACAATGGCTATTTTATAAGTTATAATATAAAATCATAATCACAAGCAAAGTCTACTAGACTGTATTCTTTGCTTTGTACTGACACCTGCTAAAACTCAACTGACAACAAACTATATCCAACAAAAAATTTCTTAAAATTCTCTACCAACTAAGGTTCAGAACAACATCATCAGCTAATAGCTACTGTGTTTATAATGTCAGCCTTACATACAATCTCACTTAATCCTCCCAACAGCCCCATACAAGAGGAACTATCATCCCGATTCTGGGAATGAAGACTGGAGGACGGCCATGTGTAAATCAAATTACTCACGATTACACTATAAGACAGGATGACAGGCAGAAAGGCCAGACACATTGAGAAGTTTTACCAGGGCTTTAGCACACCATCTCTCTCTACTCTTAAGGCGATAAGATCAGTGAATTTGCGAGACAGGCTGTTCCTCAGATGAGGTGCCACATTTCAACCTTGTGGCTGCCTATACTAGCTTCCTGATATCTGGTTCTTTTCTTCTACTCTGGTAATTTGCTTTTAATTAGACTTTTATTTGTAATAAAATAAGAATTAAATTTGGAAGGATAAAGAAGAAAGTTACCCATGCCATTTGTGGTGGCTTATGCCTGTAATCCTAGCTACCCAGGAGGCAAAGATCTGGAGGAACAAAGTTTGAGGCCAACGAAAAGGGGAAAAAGTTATCAAGATCCCCATCTCAACAAAATAAGCCAGGCACAATGGTGCGCGCTGTAATACCAGCTACAAGGAAAGCATAGGTGGGAGGATCGAGGTTCAAGGTTGGCCCCCAAGCTAAAAAACAGCTAAAACAAAAAAGGGCTAAGGGGTGTGGCTCACAAAGTAGAGCATCTGCCCAGCAAGTACAAGGCCCTGAGTTCAAATTCCAGACCACAAAAAAGTTACCCAAAACTTACTCATCCTAACACAAGGTTTTGGATATGGCGCAAAATTAGATCTGAATACATGGAGAGCAGTTCACTCTTTTACTAACTGCATGGCCTTTCACCAGCTTTCTCAACTTCTCCACACACCAGTTTTCTCACTTACTCAGGCAGGTAACAAACATTAATTAATTACTGAGTGCCTACTGTGTGCCAGGAACTGTTCTAGATGCTTGGGTGCCCTCAGTGAATAAGAGGCGGCAGAAGAGCTCTGGTCTTACCAGGTCAAGAGCCCAGCAGAGTCAAGTAAATGAGAAGCCAGGAGGGAGGGTGGTGCCCACTGCGGTTCATGTAAGGAGATGAGAGCAGGACTCCATGGAGAGGCTACAGTTGAACCAAGGCTGGAAGCCAGTGCTTTGTCAGACTTGCAGACAGCTGGGGGAAGAGCGTTCCGTGAAGAGCCTATCCACAGGCCTAAGGAGAGGTCAGAGGTAATGCCGTAAGAGTGCATTTGGGAACGAGGGCACTGCAGATAACATACGGCCTTGGAGATTACGTAAGGACTCTGCCCTTTACTAGAGTGACTGAAATGGGAAGCCACTGAAGTTGTGAGCAGAGACATAGTTTGGCTTAGATTTTAAAAGAGATTATTCTAGCTTCTGTATTGAAAATAAACTAAGTAGACAATTAGTCAATTATGGTGTCCAGAAAATGTCTGGTCTGAAAAGTTAACAGTAAAATAAAGAGTAACAATATTTGTCCACTGAGTTGTCATGAAAATCGTTCGGAAGTGTACGTAAAGCGCTTAGCAGTGCCATACCTATCCAAAGGGGACCTTCATCACAAAACATTCTCCTTCTGAGATGATTTTAAATTTGTGATAATTTGTCTAATAATTTCTACTGTGCTAGGGGTTTTTGTTGTTGTTGTTGTTATTGTAGGGTTTTTGTTTGTTTGGTTTGTTTTTTCTTGCAGGGGGAGGGAAGCGATTTTTTGTAGTACTAGAGTTTGAACTGCTATGCAGGCACTCTACCACTTGAGCCACACCACCAGCCCCTTTTGCTCTGGTTATTTTGGAGACAGGGTCTCACTTTTTGCTCAGGCCCACCCTGGACTGCAATCCCATTTTATGCTTCCACTGTCACCAGGATGTCAGGCATACACCACCACACCCAGGTTCTTTTTACTGTTGAGATGGGGTTCTGCAAAATTTTCTCCTAGGGAATGGCTAGGAACCATGGTCCTCCCATGATCTCAGCTTCCCAAGTAGGTATGATTACAGGCATGCATCACCAGCGCCCAGCATTTTTGTAGTACTGGAACCTGAACTCAGGGTCTGATGCTTACTAGGCAAGCGCTGAACCAACTGAGCCATGGCCCCAGTCTTTTTGCTTTTAGTCTATTCAGATAGGTTTTGCCTGAGCAGGGTTCAGACCACAACCCTTCCTTCACCTCTCAAGTAACTGGGATTACAGACATGAACCACCACGCCCAGCCCTATTTAAATATTTTAAGACTGGGCTTGAGTGACCTTTTAATTTTAAGATAAACTTATTTCCTCAAATAACTGGTCACTAGATATCTATTTTTTGTGATGGGGGGATTGCCCGGATATGGTGGGTTGTGATACTTCATCTTTCTTAGAAGTGACAAAGGCTTGTACAAGTTTAGAGTGGGCAGATACAGATTGATAAAGGTAACCAACAGCAGTGCAAGTAAGTTTTTTTTTTTTTTTTTGGTGATGCTGGGAACTCAGGGCCCCATGTATGCTAGACAAGCGCTCTACTACTGAGCCACACCCCAGCCCTATAACCTTTCTAAGAATTTCATATCAGGTCAGCTTTCCATCAGCAAGTTAAGTTTGCTGAAGACCACTTTGTGTTTACATATGCCTTTGAAAAAAGTTAGAACTCAATAGTCCAATTCCCAGAGGTCCTGAAACTCATAATAAGAAGACCCACGCTTTAGCTGGAGGCAGAGCTGCAAGGTTCAAGACCAGCCTAGACTACACTGTGAGACTCTTTCTGTAATAAACCAAAAGGGTCCAGGCACAGTCAAAAGCATTGGTGAAATTCTGAAAACTACACTAATGGCAGAAACCAGCAGCCTCTTCCCTAGCTGACGCAAGATTCAAAAAAGCTAACTTCCTGAACTCCCCACTACCTTATAAAGAAGCCCAATAGAACTCACACATGTACTCAATGACCCCGACCAGTTTTTAATCTTATCCTTTTAAAAAGAAACAGACTGCCAAGGATTATCAGACATTTTAGGAGAATCTCTAATATAAATGATAAAGACCAAAACACATGGGGTGGAGGATCCCCAACCAAGGACCCCAAATATCAGATTAGGACTTTAACTATCAGATTAAAAAAGCCTATCAAACCAGGTTTGGCCTTGCTCACTTCTAATCCCAGCACAAGGGAGTCAAAGGCCAGACACAGTGTGATTCACACCTATAATCCCAGCTACTCAGAAAACCATAAATAGAAGGATTGCTGATCCAGGCTGGCCCCAAGTCAAAACACACCTTATTCAAAAAATAACTAAAGCAAAAAAGGGTTGGAGGCGTGGCTCAAGCAGGGGAGTACCTACCTAGCAAGCACAAGGCCCTGTGTTCAAGCCCCTAGTACCACCCAAAAGGGGAAGGGGTGGGCATCAAACACCTAGCACATTAAATTTTACAATAATGAGGGAACCACTCTAGAGTAAAACCCATACAAAGAATCAAGAATCAGAATGGCCTCACATTTTTCAACAACTCTGGAGGCTACAAGACATAATAGAGCAAATTCATATAAATTTTGAAAGAAAATTACCTCCAATTTAGAATAACTGGCAAAAGTATCGATGAGGGTAAGAGGTTTTCCACTTCATCCTTCATGGCCCCTTTCTCAAGGGCCATATTATGTGAATAAGTCAGGGGAGAAGGTGACTTGGGACCAGGAAACAGGATAACCGATATAGGAGAGAAGCAAAAGAAACCCCCAGAAAGCCAGTGTGTAGGGTCTGGAGGGACCCCTGGAAGACAAGCCTGTAGGAGACACAGGGATCTGTAACTTTATGAGACTTCCTATCAACAGGACACTAGTGCCAACCATGCTCAAATACACTATGTTTTTTTCTTCTCTTCTGAAGAGACAGGTAGAGAAGCAAACAACCCATCTTTAGAAAGTTTTTTGGTTTTTTGGCGGTACTAGGGTTTGAACTCAGGCCTTCATGCTTGCTAGGCAGGTACTTACTCTACAACTTGAGCCATACCCTCCAAGCCAAGCTTTGATTATTTTCCTCAAAGTGCACTTTCAATTATCCATCAAATCCTGTGAGTCCTTAAAAATCCAAGTACTCTAAACTATTTCCAACCAATCTAACCTAAACCACCATCATCGCCTCCCTAGATTATTCTGAGTTTGCAAACCTACTACCTCTAAATCTACTCTCTACAGAACAGTATGACCATAAAACACAAATCCAGTCATATTATTCCTCTGCTAAAAGCCTTATCTGTTCCCTCAAAATAAAGCTCAAGTTGTTTATAACCTATAAAACCTTACAGGTTGGCTGATCTCTGTCTTCTCCTGCCTTCCCTCCTGCCCCTCTTTCTTGCCTTATTTCTATTGTTCTGGCCTTCTTGCACTAGCTTCCTTCTTGTCAATCATGTCTACTCAGTGTTGCTTCTCCTGACCCCCTGTTCCAGAGTATCTTGCCAAGCAGTTTTCTCTCTTGACTCAACTTTATGGTTTTCACAATTTATGATCATTTGAAATTAGCTATTTGCCTGCTTCATTATTATCACTTGCCTAACCGTACTCTCCAGCACATAGCAGGTCCTTAAGATAAATTTTCTGAATAAAGGCAATCTGGGAAATTCTAACAAAACCCAAAAGGGCACTCAGCTTCTTCACTATGCTAAGAAACCACACTCTGACCTAGACCAGCAGCATTTGTAGAAAATTGTTCACTGATAATCAGCTACAGTTGTAACAGTTCATCAAATAAGTTCCAAACAGAAACCAGCTGATAACACCACTCAAAGACAAAATTAAAACAAATTTAGTTTAAGAATCTTTTTTGGCTTTTTATTGTTACTTTTCTGTTAGCACATATTAATTGTACAAAATAATGGCTTTCATTGGGACATTTTTTTTTACTTTTTTGCTTATTTATTTATTGGCCATACTGAGGTTTGAACTCACAGCCTCACACTTGCTAGGTAGGCAGCACTACAGCACTTGAGCCACACCTCCAAAACCTGTGACATTTTCAAATGTACATACAAAGGATTTTGATGGGGGTGACGAGGATTAATTGGCTTCTAACTACAGTTCTAGAATCTGACAGCACCTCATTTTATAAAGCAGAATGAGTTGGTTTTTTATACATTAAAGCACAGAAAATCAGAAACAGAACAAAAAATGGACTGGAGGCTGGCATGGTGGTATACGCCTGTAATCCTACCTACTCAGGTGGCAAACAGGATCATAGTTCCAGGCCAGACTAGGGAAAAAGTTAAAAATGCCATCCCCAAAACAAGTCAGACATAGAGTTTCACGCCTGTGGTTCCAGTTACTCTGAAGTTGGAGGTAAGAGGATCAAAGTTTGCATGGGCCCTATCTGAAAAACAAACTAAAAGCAAAAGGACTGGGGGTAGTGGCTCAAGTGGTGGAGTGCTGCCTAACAAGCATAAGGCCCTGAGTTCAAACCCCCTACCATAAAAAAACGAGAAAGAAGTGGGCTGGATATTTGAAGTCTATTTCCCTTGGAGGATTATCGCAGAGGAGACTTCCTCCTGCTTGCTAAAGTAAGTTGGGCCCCTTGTGACTGGCTGAATCCCCTGGTTTGTTTTATTTTGTTTCATTTTGCTTTAACTGGTCCATTTAACAGTTCAGTTTGATTAAGTTGAGTGGGATCTAGCCAGAGTGACTCCATTTTGCCTTCATCTGGCCTCCTGTGTCCTCATCTAAGAGACTAGTCCAAAGCAACAGCCTTGTAAATTTTATTCTACAATACCCAACTGAAGTCATTAGGAAATCCCACTATGTTAAAGGCATTCCGAAGTTTGATTTACTACTATTGTTTGGCATTTTCCAGCATAGTTTTTCACGTTACAAATAAAACCAAGCACCATGCTTGTTCTTCACTGCTGCATCACACTAAACTAAATGTTTTCTATCTGTAAAGATACCCAATGTGTCTTCAACGTACACTGCTGGAAGTAAAAAGTTTTAAACCAGAACCCTTGCAAAAGAAATGTGTTTGAAACATCCATGAAGATCATATAGCATGCAAAAGAATGTGTGGGAACAGGAGGATTTCAGATATGGAGGAAAAATAGTTTAACTTCAGGGAAATACAAAACTTCCAAAGATTTGAGGGACATGTCCCAAAACAACAATGCTTTCTTAAGCATGAAGATAACAATTTTAGATGTAGTTTACTCTTTGGTTTTTGTTGTTTTTTTTTTTTTTGGG